AGGATCCTCCGACCAGGCGAGGTGATCATGCCTGGCGGACCGCGGCGGAACGGTTGATGTTGGGAAGTTGTATATATGCTAATCGGCGAGGAAATTCTTTATATCGCGATACAGGATTAGCAATTCTTATTTTAGTAGTTACTCCGTAGTTCGGTGTGTCTTCATTAGATGGCGCTGTAGTATGTTTCTGTTTCTTTGTATGTGGGAGTCGCCACAACCTCTACACCACACTGTAGTCTTTAAGTAGTCACTTTGCCGCTTCCTACCGCGCTGAGTGTTGAGAGCTCGATTCCCACATAGGACAACACAGATCACATAAGGATCCACAATTTGTTTATCTTTATGTTCTTTGTGTTTGTTTCATGTTTGTCTTTAAAAAGTCACGCGCGACACAGGATGTATTGCTAGTGCAGGACTTGTCTTTAAAGAAATATAATTACCCTTTTTTTTTTTTTTCATCATGTCGGACTCGAACCGACTAAAACCGCACGCCGTCGCCGGGTACTAATAGCCGGGGAACCAGGTATACCCTAGAAAGGAAGTCCCTGGTGCCCCGACATACCTCGGGTCATCTACAGACGAGTAGACGACCCCCCCCCCGAAATATATAATTACCCCTAAGGAAGAATTGAGTAAATTCGGTTATCACAATGTATCACGATGTAGACGCATTGAAGTCGTGAACGGCTCTTAATCAAATTTCCGTTTCAGATCATCATTTACGCCTTAGCATACTCTTGGCATTACACGAGTTACACTGAATCGCGCTTAAAAATATTCTATCAAAAACAACATTCACATCACATCATCACACATCAACAGCCTTTAATGGTCCACTGCTGGACATGGCCTCTCCTTAGAAAGGAGGTTTTGGCCTACTATACCACGTTGGCCAGACGGGTTGGTATAGGGTTTGTGTTAAGTTTTACTTCTCTTTGCAGTGCTGGTTGTCCTACGTTAGCTTCCTTAGTCGGCTCTTACGACACCCACGGGATGAATAGAGGTGGTGACACTTCGTGTTCGTAATCCGTCACCACACGGACGTTAAACAACATTCTATAATCCGCTAGTCTCGAGATCAACGCAGTTCTTCTAACGTAAAAAGTTGTAAAATCTAATTGTTAGTTAACTAGTCAATAACAATATTGTACAGTCAATATAACATTTCTGTAATCAATCAAATTTAATGTGCCTGTGTGAAGAAAGCTTTATTAAAACTTAAATACTTCAATTCGTTTATTTGCGCCATCTCTGATTTGGTAGGGAAACTAAAAACAACTGTAAAAGAGCGTGCTCCTTCCTAAAAATTTTGTAAATCATTTTTGTAAATGGCGCTAGTTAAGTTTTTATAATACTCTCCCTCTAAAAGTTATGTACTTAGTTGTAAGTGGAAACGTAGCTTAATACTCTGGTCTGGACTACCAAACACAACAATATTGACTGATTTCGAAATTTAGGCAAACTGTTTCCTGAATGAAAGAGTGTTTCGACGGTCGTTCCAAACATTTCTATAGCAGAGGCTTTAATGAACCTCTATTAGAAGCACAAGTTAAACCCAGCAGTACCAACTGTTTCATGTTTGTTACCTAATGTTGCAGAAATTACATATCCTGTTTGGCTGTTACCCGCTGGTTAGTCTGTCTTTTCAATACAAACTGTTATCCCGTATGATGCTTTCTGACACTTACCTTCTGAGTTTAGCGGTTAATGCGTGAAAATTTAACAGACGGTCAATTAAATTCGCGTTTAGTTCATAAAATTAAGCTTGTTAACAATTACTTTAAGGGTAGACAACACAAACAGACATACATTCAGGCCCGTTTCACGGAAGGGTTACGACGATATTTACCAACCATAGTTCGAGCTCTTGTTGAGTACAAGGACAGGACCGTCTACCAGACATTTGGGAATTAAAGAAAGGAAAATCAGGTGTATGGAAAAGAAAAGGTACCTCCTGGAAGGAAGGCAACGGACGAAAAGGGAAGTTGCTTATACGATGGAATTTGAGGGTGCGGGCAGTAGCTTTGGCCAGTACATGTAAGGAATGCAGCTGTGTTTCTTCGCTCCAGTTTTCTTTATCTCGAAACTTCATCTCAACTATTTGTAACTGTAGGTACTATATAACTGTTAAGGGGTATTGCGGAATATTGTGTTACAGTAGTCACGATTATTGCAAAGTCGGTGCACCTGAGCTCGCTTGTCGCAACGCCCGCCGTCACGAAGTCAGCGTCAGCGACTGACAGTCAAATGATAAGCTAATTCTTTCACCGCTAGCGGCTGACCTTGAGTGAGTGGCGACCCGAGGGATATGGGGGGAACTCCCTTTGCCGGTAAAGAACCGTACAGACGCGAAGCGAGGTAAAGTTGAAAATAACATCAGAGATGTGACTCATTTAAAATATAGTAGGCGTAGTGGTTTATGCGGTCGCCACGCCGCTTCCTACTGCGTTGAGTTTTGTGGGTTCCATCCCCATATGGGACACCACTTTGTGTCTGGGTGTTCTGTGTGTCCGTTTCATGTATGTTTCTAAAGTGTCCCGCTACACAGGAATATATGTTCCTAATGCAGGATTTGTCTTTTTATAAATAAAAAAAAAAACTGAAATATAGATACAAGATAGGTACAAAAAAGTATTTTCATTGTTTATGTATCTTCGTATTTCGTAAATACTATGTTTGCTTAAATACTTTTAATAACAATCATCTACGCTTTTTATTACGCTTTTTTATACGCTTATTTAACACACCCCTGAAATTTAAATCATCCTATCTATAGAGTTCAGGTTTTATAGTTTTGTAGAAAGCTCTGGGTGAGGCCTATGTGACCTATTACCAAGCAGTGGATATCTTTCGGCTGACATGATGATGGTGATAATGTAGGCTGTGGTCTTATTAGGTGTTGTTGTCGCCATCTTCGCTTGCTACTAATTTAGATCTTAATTAAAATTTAAAATATATTCAATTAAAATATACAATATTAATTCAGTATTATAAATGTATAGAGATAGTCTGAGTCCCAGAAACCACCCTTTAAAGGGGTGAAAACGTACATGTTATAGATAAATTACACCCAGCCACAGCACAAAAGATCGTGCTCATCACACAATTGTTCGTCTCCTGGTTGGGAACTGAACCCACGACCTTTGGCTAATCAGTCAGAACCACTACACCAACAGCCCTGTTCGATGGGCGGCTAGCCCTGTCTCTAACTTGAGCGGGGGAGGCGGGTCAATCGTTTGATAAAAAAATACAATATCTTTTAGTACGAGTATGAACGAAACTATAACGCGATTCACGTTAAGGGAACATCGTCATTCATCGAGATTTTACCTAAACATTAATTATTGGTGTTAGCCATGTCGGTGGAGTCCGTGTGGTGAAGGATTAAAGGGTCCCGTGCTGCCGCCCTGCCTACTCGACGATGGCCGGCTGGAGCTTGAAACAGACCCTATATCAACCCTTCTGGCCAACGTGGTATAGTAGGCCAAACCCTCCTTTCTAAGGGGACGCCTATGTCCAGCAGTGGACTGTTATAGGCTGTTGATGTGATGTGTGATGTGTCAGTGGTGTCGGTGTGTGCCAAAATAAAACAAGATATTTATTTTTTTAGTTAAATTTATTACAACAAATATTCACCAGATCACAAATTATTAATTAAACATTTCGTACATTTGTGTGAATGTACCATTTATATAAAAATCCATTTCATTTTGCCTGACTATGCGGTTTAGTTGACCGTGGCGTCTGACACCACACGGCAGGTCACCTCACACCCTGACAGAGCCCACGTCGAGTTCGAAACTAGTCAGCCTTACCCGAAATAGGCACTTTCTTACATAAAACACAAACTTGAATACTTCCCTTAGCGGCGTTAATAATCATGCTATTTATTTCATATAGACATACATTTCGAAAAAAAATCTAAGTGAAGCAATGGCCGTGGACTGACTCCTGGCTGGTGACCTTCAAACCTACGTGCTGTGAGAGTTTCGTCTTAAATTTAATAGGTATTTAGGTTTATATATCATACCTATCAAAACTAACGTTACACAATGAAAACTCCAAATATCAAATAAAATGTAGGATGTGCAACCTGTCAGATAACTATACGACAGGACAGAGGAATTGAACCCGCGAATCCTTGTAGAGAAGCAGTTATGTCCTTCGAACACAAAAGAAGGATCCTCCGACTAGTATAATCGGCTCTAAGAACTTTAGTAGCGCGATACAACACAGACAAGTAGAACTACTACGTAGTTCTACTTGTCTCCGCTAGATGGCAGCACACACATTTAAAACAATTAATAAACAATGCCATTACAAATAAAATGTTATTTATTCTCCAATATTTGGAGGTTCTAACATTATTTGATTATTAGTTAGTTTTAGTTAGATTCCTTTGTTAACATTTCATTTTTTTATTGCTATTTCACAAAAATATAATTATTTTTGTTAATATAAATACAAATAATCGTTACATAGAAACATGTACACTAAACCACTATGGAGTTAAACCATGGAAATAAGTATTTTTAATATCTAGTATTTTTTTATTAAAATACTAGTGACGTGACATAGTTATTAGACGGGAGTGGGTTCTTTTTGACAATGCAATAGGTGGGATTTGTACCCGCAGCCACTTGAACCACTTCGCTGTGTTTGGAACCACAGTTAACAAACCCATCGGCGAAGATATCACGAAGGTGCATACCTTTCTTTTGTAGGGTTATTAAAGTGATCTTAAAACAATAATTCTATGCAGATATTAAACAGTTTATCATAAAATATTAGTGTGATATTGGATTGTTTGTAATTACAAGATATAATTTAATGAATGTAAGATATGTTTAATACTTTAATAAAAAAAGTTGTTCCCGAAACTTTTTGTGACAGTCAATTAAACTTAGATTTTTCTTTAAAAAAATAAGTCAACAAATGTTGAATAAAATAATCTACGTATATTTAAAGCACCCTTTATTTAAGACGGTGAGACGGACGGTCTACCGTCCGCAGCCGCCCCCCCCACACTTGGACTTCTTCGGAGGCCTGTAGCTGGAGGTGGAGGCGCCGCCGCTCAGCGGCATGTAGTCTCCTGCACAGAATAAACATGACAGTGTGTTGTGAGTTAACTATTCAATCAGCATTAGCATCATCATCAACGCCATTATCACCATCGACGTCATCATCATCATGATTATAAACGTCCTTTTAGTCATCGCTACCATTATCATCATCATCATCGAGATCATTATCATTTTAAAGGTAGCTGTACGATGACGCCACCATTTTCATCATCATCGCCGTCCTCATTACCGTTGTCATCATATTCCTGTAGTACGACTACCTTCCTGTGTAGTACCCATGGAACAGTTGGGTCAGCGATACAAGGGAAAGTAAAAATACTGGTTCAGGTAAATAATACTGGTTCAGGTCAGGTACACCTTTAACTGCAACTGCCAATCTCCGAGCAGCATGATTTTGTTGTAATTTAAATACCTGCCCTCTTAGTTGGGTCAACAAGGAGGAATGTCTAAAATAAGATGGAATTGGAGTACATACTGTCGTCTCTCTCTCCGAGCCGTTGTCCCGCGTTGCCGTACTTCTGCAGACGCTCGACAGCTTCTTGACGCTTGCGCTCCTCACGCTGAACAACAAACAATAACACTATGTTTAAAGTTTAGCAAAACAAAAATGATGATTTGATGAAACAATTAAAAAATAATTTCTTTAACCGACTCCTGACTTCATCATTAGACTATCATATCCAATTCCAATCTATTAGACTCGTCAAAAGGATTTATATGAACCCAAACTCAAGGGGGTTTTCTGGTAGCCTCTGAAGAGCTCCAATATAGTCCTCCTGCCTCAATTATCTTTCTCGTTTCCATGTGTGCCGAAACATAGCTCTCTCACGGCAAATAGTCTTAATACACGGATTTAACTTTAATAAACTTAAGTGTGTCCCGAGGGGATCATGTACAAGCCGTAGATGTCCCGGGGTCCGTCGGGATAATAGGATTTCCTTTCTAGGTTACATTTGGTTCCCCGGCGTGTGGATTCCACTCGGTTCGAGTCTGACATAACCACATCACCGGTCCTTCGGTGGGTGGTACCCAAGGCGATTTCGAAAAAAGGAAGGAAAGAAGAGCCTTGAAATCCCCTCCACAAGTTTTTGCCATAAACAATTGACATAATATGAAGTTTCTATACCTCTTTCTGTAGTTCAAGAGCTCGCGCAGAGGCCGCCAGTAGCGCCTCTTGCTGCTGCTCCCTCGCGCGCTGGATGGCTTCCATGCGAGACAGAGCGAGGTCGGGATCTAAAATATGCAGTTAACCATATAACTACCTCTCCACCTTCAGATCAGCACCGGTATGTGACATTGCACAAAACATTAGACCAACAGGCAACTGGCCTGTGAGCAAAGCTAATGACTATGTTACGTTTACAATTGTAAGAATAAAAAATTAAAAAAATGATTTATATGTGTGTGGTTTGTGTTTTAAAGAAAATAAAACTAAATTGGTGGCATCAAATAGAAACAAAATAACAAAATAAAAGTCTCGGGCGCCAGATACCACCTTAAAAGAACACAGAACCCACCACAAACACAACAAATACCTCGGACATCTCAGCCAACATTGAACCTTTTTAAAACAAGGCGGGAGGCAGCTAATGAATACAAGATGTTAAGTTCTAATGGCAGTTTATTATCCCGTAGTGTCTGTAGAGTACAATGTGTCTTATGTCTCTAATTACAATAGGTAATTCTTATACACAAATTAGTACTGTCATTAATGCAATCCTTTCCAATAAGAAAAATATAAGGTTAAATAAGTTTTAAAGAGTCACATGAAGACCCAAAAAGAAAAGAGTTTAAGGGTAGTTGTAGCAACGCCCTACTCCCTTAGTTAAAATTAACCCCTTTGGGGACCTGTATAGGTTTTTAAACAAAGTCACATAAAGACTTAATAGACAAAACAATAAACTCTAAAGGTAGACATAGCATTGACCTACTCTCTAATAAAAATAACACCCCTTGGGGACCTGCAGTATTCAATGCCACGTCGCCAAGAAAAAGATATAACAAAACACATACCAATGACCTTGGATCAGTCCGAATGAAATGAAATCAAATCAACTCCGAAACTTCTCACTCCGGTTCCCACGTGGTGGAAGAGGCGGGTTAGCACTCCCCGGCTCCAGACAATGGCGTGCAGCTAAGCAGCTTTTTCTACCAATCCGGTGCTCCACAGCAATCTAATCCCTTGGGGTTAAACTCCGGCGAGAGACAAAAATCCGAATGCCACGCAATGACATTCCAATAAGAATGTAAAGAAATTTAGGTATAAAAGGAAAATAGAGTATAATTAAAACTTTAGATATAAACCAAAAACCCTGATTCATCAGGGTCCCAAAATGTTTCACAAATTAAGCAGCGGCATTATAAGCATTGCCTTTTCAACAAAAATAATCACTCGAACCAATAGCTCGAGTCCTAACTAGGTTGGCCAGACACTTAAAGAGGAAACAGGCCCTCGTCCACATCAAATAAATAAGGATTACTAATAAATTAAATTACAAAAACTAGCTTCGCTTCATTTCATTCGGCGGTCAGTCCAAAAGTGACCAACGTGTTGCCAGAGCAAAAGCTTGTCGCTCCCAAGAACGTAAAAAAAATGTTGCCAGGAAAAGAAAAACTAAATCGACTAACTAATCGCGGGCGAACAACATCGATTATTACTCTCGCCCGCCCCTCGACCATCGGCACTCGCAGAAACGACAAAAAATTCAACCTAACAAAACAAAAACGAGACTAAGGTTCAAATTACTGTAATGGTGCGAAATGCACCGTTACACAATATACATTTGGTTGAATGCTGTCTTGTTAGGTTTATAATATATTATTATTATATGCTAAACAACTTACTTTTATGGTACACCGCATCTTCTCTGGCCTGCTTCCACTTGTCAAAGGTTGGCCGGAGCTTGTTTAGGAAATACAGTGTGACTGCCGCACCGCCCACGATGAACCAGCCGTATGAGGCCAGGAACTGGAACACTGATAGTCAACTAATAAAAAAAAAGACGTGTGGCACTCGGGGACAGCCGCGGTAAAGCTATTGCATAGCATTTTTTATCAACTTATGCAATTATAATTATTTATTTATTTTATTTATGCAGTATTTAGCAGCAAAACTAAAAAGTATCACGTGGGGTGTGTTAGGTTATTTTCGTTACGGAATTTCTGGATTCGGTCTCCACGCTCAAGGCCCGCGATAGAAGCTATGCAATAGCTTAAAGAAAAATCTCAGTAATATTTATTTGTTATCACATAAATTATTAATTTACATAAAAATTAGAAAACAACCCCCTATTTAAAGCGGTATTTTTCCGTTCTAAGCCCCCTAAGTGTGTAGTAATATTAAAAATTATAAATGGCATTGAGCTGGTTGAGCTGCCAGTCAGTCTAATATTCTACGATTTGTCCAATATCATCAACAGATGTCTTTGTTTTTCATACCCATACAAAATCTCACTGAATTATACATTTACACCTTCCTCTTAGGGCACTATGAATGTATTAGTGAACACTGTTTGTAAAGCCGTTTAGAGTTTAACGCAACACATCCAGAAGTTCTGGGGGATATCCAAGAGGTAAAAAGGTTTGAAACCTTATTAGTTATTCATCTCTACTTAAAACATATGAAAATTATGTAATCAAAATATGACCAAAATAAACAAATAATGTAAGAGGTATAAAATTGGTAGAGGTTTTCTACCGGATACCAATTCCCACACACATATTGCACAACTATTATCTGACGGGATGTGACATGCTTTGTGCAATGTCAGCAATATCCTTCATTGCCTCACTTCAAATCAGCTCACGTTCACATTTAACACACAGATCACATGTTATATCAAAGTATTAACATGCCTTTTCCCTGCTTACTACATAGTTACAGAAGTGATGGATTAATATTTTTTGAAGTGATAACTTCTTATGGGAGGGTAAACTGCTTTGCTACATAACGCATTACGGCGCCAGTCTGTCTGGCTTCCCTTTCTCGCAACTATACGGGAGCGATAGGCAGGCTCCTCCTCTCTCACTATAACCCACAGGGCTAGCCGTATTTTAGACAGACGCTTTACAAAAAATCTAAGTAATAACCTAAGCTTTTCTCAATGTTAAATAGTTCAACTTAGATTAGTTTAAGTTAGCACTTCTGTCGGGTGTCCAGAGACGCACACATTTTGTTTAAAAGGCAACTCCCGCATTAGGAATATATCCTGTGTTGCAGGGGACTATACAAACATACATGAAACAGACACAAAAAACACCCAGACTCAGAACAACAATTTGTGGATCACACAAAGTGTCAGCCCATGTGAGGATCGGACCCAGAACACTCAGAGTAGTAGTAAGCAGCGTGGCAACCGCTTAAACCACTACACCATCTGTGTAGTCAATAATGGATTTCTTGTCTGTCTGATGGATGTGTTGACTATAATAATAATTAACTATAACTATCATTATAATAATAATGGTGACAAAAACATAATTACAGTAAGTAAAACTCTTTAAGCTTAAAACACCAAGGTAATTGGTATGTACTTTAGTAAACAAGACAAAAGCTCCAAAAATATCATTCATAGATAGAACCCTACTTGTACACATTCCAAAATTAAATTAAAACTGTAAGCAACTGTAGTTGTTTTTAATTCGAGTGTTAATGAACTTATGCAAATGGGTAATAAAAATTAAAGTGATGTGTTGAAACATGCATAAATCATTAAATTGAGGCCGTCCTTACCGACAGTAACAGGATTCATGGTGCCGCTAGACGTCTGCTCCACCTCCTCGAACAGAGGGTCCATTTAGATGATGAAACCTTAATATTACTATTTCAATATATATTGCACAAACACCCACACACCGCACCGCTCACACACGTCAACTTACAACCAACTGTTTGAACTTTACTCAGTAAATGTAATCAAATTGTTGAATATTAATTTGTTTCGATATAACAATATACAATAACTAATTATTGTATTCTTCGATTATTTCTAGAATATTTTCATTTTTTAATTTGTTTGACACAAATTAGTTAGTAGAAGTGTTGCCAACTTCGAGGCTTTTCCTCCTAAAAGTTTTATCAAGATAACATGATTTCAATGAGCATGGACATGTTCTTTTCTTAGGTGAATTAAGAAATTATTTATAAATCTTACAGAATTTGGTAAAAAATTGATGGATATCCTTGTATACATACATACGGTGACATAAGTTATATGAGTTTTGAAAGTGAACATTACATTATCGTTCTTTGATCTTTAAAAATTTTTGATGTGTGTTTACATACATACAAGGAGAAAACCATAAGTTGACAACACTGAATGACAAGTCTTTTGTGACATGACGTGTCTTCCATGTTCCGTTACTCACTGCGCTGATAGCTCGATGCGTTCCATTTACATAGTAGTGAACTAGGTAAAATAATAAATTACACCAAAATACATTACATCAATCCGTGTTTAACTTGGTCTTGAATGCTTTTTTTTATTGCAGTACTAGCATTGTTTTATTTAGGTTATTTGGCAAACGCTATAAACAGCCACATTTCTGCGGTATTTTCGGACCGATACGACCTTCAAACCTTCAAGAAAAGCGTCTTCTCCTTCCTAAAAGGCAAACGTTCATGGGCGGCGATGGTCACTTTCTATCAGGTGACCCGTCTGCTCGTCTGCCCCCTCTAACATAAAAATACACATTAAGCTTAGGTAAAATACGCCTCCTCTTAATAAAAAAAAATAGCATGGACAGTAAGACAATCTTATGAACTACTGATATAGTATACCTAACTAATGCATCAGTTAATGATTTTGCTCATCACCATGGCATCCAGCCGTGCCATGGTGGATGGCCTGGCATGCCATAGCACATATAAGAGATTTTCGATACGTATATATTTATTCTGCTAAATATTTGACAAAACATAGATCGTTGCTATTGTGTGTTGATCTATGACTTTAGAGTCTACACAAGGACGATTTCAAATAATATGATTTTTTTTATGAAATAAAGATGTTTTTTTGAGATGTGCAGGGGACTTTACACAGGGCACGCCGTCATCGCGGCGGTAAGACCCGTTATGGAGGATTGGCTCGAGAGGCGTCACGGGACCCTCTCATACCGATTGACGCAGGTGATCACTGGGAAGGGATGTTTCGGAGATCAACTGTGTCTGATCCGCAAGGAGCCAACGCCTGAGTGCCACCACTGCGATGGCCAGACCGTGGACACGGCTCTCCACACGCTGGCAGAGTGCCCGGCGTGGGTTGAGCAGAGGCGAGACCTCGTGGCAGCCATCGGAGTGGGAGTTCTCTCGCTCGATAACCTGATTGCGACTATCGTGCGGAGCGAGAGTGCGTGGAACTCTGCCGTCTCCTTCTGCGAGCAAGTTATGCTCGCGAAGGAGACGGCGGAGCGGGACCGGGAGAGGTTTAGAACTCTCCCGGCTCGCCAGGCCCGGGAACGGGCCAGGTACCGCAGGCGACTCATGCGCCGGAGGTCGCAGAACGACCTCCGTCCTCCATAAGCGCAGGCCTGGGGGTGACAGGTGAGGCCATCTGTCACCCTAGCAGAAGCAGGCCGGGGTGGCGGCAAGCGCGTTGCGAAGCGCGCTCGCTTCCAGGGAGCACCGGGAACATGGGGTTCCCACACGGGGGGGGTCGTCTACTCGTCTGTAGATGACCCGAGGTATGTCGGGGTACCAGGGACTTCCTTTCTAGGGTATACCTGGTTCCCCGGCTATTAGTACCCGAGACGGCGTGCGGTTTTAATCGGTTCGAGTCCGACATGCTACCGACAGGTGGTATCCGAGGGGATTTCCGCAAGGAAAAAAAAAAAAAAAAGGGGACTTTACACACATACATGAAACGGACACAAAGAACACCCAGACTCGGAACAACATTTTGTGGATCACACAAAGTGTCGTCCCATGTGGGGATCGGTCTCACAACACTCAGTGTGTGCAAACCACCACGCCATCCGTGCAGTCAAAAGTTTGAGTTTGAACCCATGACTTCCGGCTCAGTAGTTCGGATCACTAACAACTTGACCAACAGGCCTGCCAACATGTCATACAATATTGATTTCAATATATCTATATTGTATGTTTTTAGTAATATACAAGTCTGTTTATCAGCAGTCCGGTTCCTCAAACATTATAACCATCAACAGCTTTTAACAGTAGGTACACTGCTGGACATAGGCCTCTACTTAGAAAGGAGGTTTTACTATACCACGCTGGCCAGACGAGTTGGTGTCGAGTTTTCCATCTCTTTGCAGTGCTGGTGTCCTGCGTAGTTTGCTCCCTTGGTCGGCTCTTACGACACCCACGGGATGAATAGGGGTGGTGACACTCCGTATTTTTTTATCCATCACCACACGGACGCCAGTATTAATATAGTAATATAATAATATAGTAATACTATTAATTTCATTATATGACCATCAAAAACTAACAGAATTATTATAAACATACGACCATCTATTTTAATATCAAACATAAGACTATCTAGTTTAAATGTTTATTCTCTAGCGTGATAAAAGATGAGTAATTACTAGAGATGCCACGAATAGTGATTTATAACTAATATTCCGCGAGTCTCATGGCCGAAGCGCTGAATATTCGGCAACACTTAGTACATTTCGCGGGTTTAAACTTGAATCAGTAAAATGGTCACCAAACGCAAAACAATATCCTAACCTAACAGAATTTGCTAAGATTTATTTAGCATTTCCCCGAAGCAGTAATACATTAATATAAGTATATAGTGAACCGTGTATATTTTTATATATTACATGTCATAGTATGTAATCTCTGTGCACCTACCTTATATGATTTCTACACCACCCAAAGGTTGACTGGAAGAGAATGCCTTGGGCATTAGGTCCGCCGATGTACAAAAGTGCATAAAGTTTGAAATAAATAAATAAATTAATTAATATGACAAGTTACTGGTAAAACAAAAATCTTTGTGGACATGTATTATGCATTCTTTTTTCGGGATTTACTATTCGGTGTTCGGCCGAATAGTTCGGCATATTCGGCCGAATACCGAATAGTGGAAAAAATGGCCGAAAATCGGATAGTTGCCGAATATTCTAACTATGTTCCTTTCTTCACAAGGCCAAGCCAGACCCTATACTGCACTCACATAGTCTTTAACATTGTACACGGACTTAAAAAATAAAAAAGACCTCTGTGGTTTGCTTCGGCGTTTCTTCCCAGAGTGAGTCTTAGGAAATGCCGGCTCTATCTGTAAACCCCGACTTGTAAAAATATCTGAAAAGATTTACTTACAGAAATAAATATCATTTATTATTCGTGTCTTCGCTACTTTTTTATGGTATAAAGGGGCAAACGAACAGACGCGACGGATTTCCTGATAGTAAGTGACTACCGCCGTCCATGGACCCTTGCAACTCAACCGTCACAAGTTCGTTACCGTCCTTTGGGTCCCACCTCCTAGAATCAAGGTAAGATTTCAAAATAGTATCACACTTAGAAAATAAAAATTACGTATATGTGAGTAAACATCAAACTAGGCAGGACAACAGCACTACAAAGAGAAGGAAAACTTGTAACAAACCCTATACCAACCCGTCTGGCCATCATGGTATAGTAGGCCAAAATCTCCTTTCTAAGGAGAGATCTATGTTCCAGCAGTGGACTATTAAAGGCTGCTGATGATGATGAGTAAACATGTAGAGTAGTTTAGGCCTCAGAATTAATAGATGGCCCTAAAACATGGGGGACACTTGACAGCAACTAGAGAACTCTTTATCTCTAATAGTATTACTGTACTGTGTGGAGAGGAGTTTGGCCTCCGGTAACCTCACTCAGTCTCTCGGTGGGCACCAACGTCAAACTGCTTAACCCAGGTTTTCCATGAGGCCGTGGTTTACAGCCCGGTCGGACCAGACGACATAAGTCCTCACAATAGGACAATAAAGAATAAAACTCAGTTAAGGGGCGGTAAGGTTCACTTTACTTTACACTTTACACACACATATACATACATACATACTGCTGTGCAGCACTATTGACCTCGGTTGAGACGCTATACATATATCTATCTATATATTTGACATTGCTTCCACCACAGGCCAACGGGACCAGGGCAACATAGGAATCAAGGTATCTCATGTCTATTAAAGATACAATTTTACTCATGATATTTTGTTTAAGGCTCAGACTTCCCGAGCCCCGACTTGCTCGAGGTTGCTATAGATAGGAAAGGCCCCGATCCTTACATGTAAGCAATATTTTTGTAGCTACCATTCCCTCCTTATCTATCTTTTCTTACTATGTGCACTCAATTTCCCATTTAATCCTGGTTGATGGCTGACTTGCTAAGCTTGCTCCCTATTAGGTGAGCGGGTCTGAAGTGTCAGATGGCAAATTATGGGCGTTGAATGCCACCTTTGTCTTGGTTATATATATTTTGTGGTTGCAAGTCCAGTTTTCGACCGCAACTGCGGCGACAGGTGCGATCGGTGAAGATTTCAGTGCGTCGATGTGAAATAAACTCGCACCAAGCCCTCTGAGCGCGTCGGATTTGAAGCTGATCGTGAGTAAACCTGTATATTTTTAATAAATATGAACATCACTAGTGTTTTTATTATGAGTCACATGTTTTAAAGGAATGACATCACAACTGTTGTGTAACACAGCAGCTAGGTACCAGGGCGACACACCACGAGGAGAGCTCACACAGTCACTTGGCACATCACACTAGCTCCAACACTTTTATAGTCCCTTGGGAGTTAGCTGCTAACAGTACGTGTGTGTCCGGAGACCGTCTCCAGCATACCGCTGACACAAACTCCGAAGGTTCTTCATCTCTCCTCTCCCTCTCCAGAAACCCTCTGACAGCGTCGAATCTGTACGCGAGCAGCGGCCGGGACAACCCGCTGTAGTAGACGAATAGAGCATTGTTCTCTGAGCCACAGGCTATGTACTTCCCGTCGGTCGCCAACCCCACGAAGTTCTTCTCGTTCGCGTGGCCGGTGAACGATCTCACACATCTAGGTGACTCCACTCTCCACAGTTTGAGCTGAGAGTCCGTAGAAGCGGACACTAGGGTTTTTGCGTCGAGGAACTTGACGTAGGAGACAGCTTTCCGATGGTCTTTGAAGACGGCGAGGGGGGTTCTGGGGGCGCGCAGGTCGTAGTAGTGGACACAGTGATCTGCGGAGCCGAAGGCGAGGTGGCAGGAGGAACGAGGGTTGAAGCGGACGCAGCACACGTTGAACTTAGCCTCGAGGGTCGCCACCGACCGCTCCGCGTTCAGCGCCCATAGCTTGACGCGAGCGTCGTCTGACCCTGGAAGGTAATATTAGCGCCATCTGTTAACATCCTGTGATAATACAAATGTAATGAGAAATTTTAAACAGCTCCTAGCTAGCGTCATATCAACTGCAACGTGATGAATTCTAATAAATTGTATTCTTCATACTTTAATTTCCACAAGCAATGACTTCTTCAAATTTAAATAGGGCCAAAGAGGAAGTATGCCTGCCTAAATAATAGGTTTTTACCTTTGAAGTTGAAGATTCAAAAACCAGCATTTTCAGGTTAAATTATCTGTGGATTGGCGCGCAATTCGAAATTCAAATAACTTTTATTCGAAAGCCGTATTTTAATTTGTTTTTTTTTTTGTTTTTATGTTAGGGCAGACGAGCAGACGGAAGTGTTTTGTTTTGTGAAATTGTGGTAGTTTTTGGCGGCATGGATAAACTGAAAATTCGTACAATTTTCGAATACGAACAATGATGGAGTAGCTCGCAATTCAACAACCACGACTAGTCCAATCACTCTTCCCCATTGCTTCTTCACAACAACGCGCCGAGCTTTCACGCAAAGCCACAAGAGTTATAGCTGGAAGCTCTCCGTCACCCACCGTACTCACCGGACCTTGCTCCAAGATATTTCTACTTTTTTTAATAGTTTGCTAAATATTCGACGAAAAAAAATTCGACTGCACGGATGGCGTAGTGGTTAAAGCGGTCGCCACGCCGCTTTCTATTACGCCGAGTGTTGTGGGACCAACACTTTGTGTGATCCACAAATTGTTGTTCTGAGTCTGGGTGTAATTTGTGTCCGTTTCATGTATGTTTGTAAAGTCCCCCGCGACACAGGATTTATTCCTAGTGCGGGAGTTGTAAAAAAAAAAAAAAAAAAAAAAAAAAAAAAAAAAAAAAAAAAAAAAAAAAAATTGTCAAAACAGAGATTGTTGTTATTGCGTGTATTGATCTATGATTTTAGAGACTACACATGAGACGATTTCAAATAATTAAAAAAAAAAGAAATAAAGATAGTTCGTTTTAAAATTTACAAAATATTTCAAGCGGGAAAAATTTCAACACCGCCAGTCAGTACAAAACGCTTTTGCTGACTTCATCGCCTCCCGTCCAGCAACTTCTACAGTAAAGGGATCAACAAACTGTCATGAAAATGTCAATATTGAATAGATAATTTGGGCCGGTAACTTGATTAGTGAAATAAAAAAATAAAAAAAACATACAAATCTCCAACTTCATAGGTAAAGACCTAATAACAAAAGCAGAGGCACTCTGGGAGTGTCGACAGAAGTGAAAACTTATTGACAGAGGGTATCGGTGTCGGTAACGGTAACAGTGTCGCGAGTTGAATTGTTTGAAGCGTACCCGAGGCGAGCAGGCGCACGTCGGCGCGGTTGAAGTGCACGGACCAGCAGCGCTTGTCGTGCTCCTGCAGCGCGCGCGTGCGCTGGCCCGTGCCGGCGTCCCACACCGACACCGTGCCCTCGTAGTCGGACGAGGCCAGCACGTTCTTGTGGTACGCGTTCCACGACACGCACGAGATCTTGTGCGAGCACTGCATCTCCGCGCACGGGTAGTGCACGTCCACCGCGTCGCGCACCACCGACTCGTACTCGAACACCTGCAACCACGCCAAGCCTCTTACAAGATACACCACACCATACCAATTAAATTATTCATCGCTTATTTCACTATCACTCGAGTGTTTTTTATTTTGAATGTTCTTTTTAATAATAATAATATTTTTACACATCTCACACACGGCCGCCTGATCCCAAACTAGGCTGAGCCTGTACTACGGTAACCAGACTGCTGATAAATATACTTATATATTTCTAAATACATACATATTATAGATAAAGTACACCCAGACACAGAACAAATGACCGTGCTCATCACACAATTATTTGTCCTGGGTGGGAATCGAACCCACTACCTCTGGCGTAGCAGTCAGGGTCACTAACCACTAGACACACAGTCAAATATTCTTCCTTACACTTCTGACAATGTGTGTGCAATGATCAGGTGTGACAGTTTATAATATTACTACTAGACAGAACCACCACTATCTAGATACAAGCCGAGCACTGGTACAGTACCTTGATGCGTTTAGTGACGCCTGCGATGGCGAAGAACTCCTCGTCCTTGTCGAACTCGATGGTGGAGACGATGGTGCTGTAGTTGATGGCGTCGCTGCAGTAGGACAGCGTGGCGAGGGGCCGCAGCGTCCGGTAGCGGGTGAACGCCACCAGGTCCTCGCGGAACGCGTCCAGCCCGCGCGCACCTGAACCCACACCTGGAAACATATGCAGTTTACAAACACCATCACTGTACATACATCTGAATATACTCGTAAGAAAAACTTGTCATGTCTTTGTCATGTATTTTAAGGCCATCTAGTTAATACTTGCCGAATTATATACCTACTGACTACTGTGAAAGTGAGTTCTTACGCTTTGATAACTAGGTATTGTAACAGTAATGTCACATCTACCAACTTTTTGGTAGTTCTAGCAATTTTCACTTCAGTCTACCTATCACCACTTTGAATTATTTTTATATCGACGAGCGACGTTTCGCGCCCATAGACATTATTATACTGTTCTGTGGCCCATTCCCGGTTGGTTTGTTGCGGCATCAATGGTGAATCTTTGTTCCTGTTTTGTGTTGTTTTGTTGTTAAAACTAAATAACTACATATTAACGGTGCTGATTGCTGTTTGTTCAATTTCAATAAAAATATGTACAATTTCCAAAAATAAACATTTTAAGAACAGTTTATGCATTTTTAATCTTAAAAAATCTTCTAAATTGAGGTGGTACATCTACCAATTTTGCATTTTACATTCTACCAACTTCTACCAACATTTGGCACATAATCTACTAATTTTCTAAAATTGGGCTTGGCAACACTGTATTGTAATATTATATTCTTATGGTCATGAACAAAAATAATAAAAAAAAATAAAAAAAAATCTTGTTTCTAACTTTGAAAATGACGAACTTTCATATTACCGTATAATAAGGGATGCTTATTTAACCCTCTCAGGGGTACAATTTTCAAAATCCTTTCTTAGGTGGGTGCTTATAACATTAAAAGGATCAGCTGCCAAAATTGCAAGTTTTTAGGCTCTGTGTTAATGAATCAGTCAGGTCAGGGCAGGTAATTTTTTATGTACCTATAGTATAGTGAATTAACAACATTTTAAATAACGTTACGGCTGGCGCTCCTCGCTGGGGCGGCTCCGATGTCAGAGTTCTCAAGGTACACTCACCCGCGGGTGTCCTGGTGTTACAGCTCTCCGCGTTGGTGGTCTCCGGGGCGTCGTCGGGCGCGCGCTGGTCCCCGCCGCTGCTGGCGGGCGGCGCCTGCGGCACGTGGTCCTCCGACACAGGGGTCGCGGGGGCCGCCCCCGGGGACACCGAGGGGGCCGGCGCCGGACACGTCGGCTCCATGGGGGCGACCGTGGGAGGCGCCGGAGTCGCCGCCCCGGACGGAGGAAAGTACAGCTCGTCGGCGCGGTGGGCGAAATAGCACTGTATATAATAATTACGTTACACTGCGAAGGTGGCCAACGGAGGGTCGTGTAGTGTCAGTAGCAGGACGGAGAGCGTTACCAGCACGAAGTCGTCGAAGTGCGCGTAGAGGCGGCGCCAGCGCGAGGTGAGCGCGTCGGTGACGGGCACGGTGTGTCCCGCGAAGCTCTCCTCCTCGGAGCCGCCGCCCAGGCTGCTGCCGGTCAGCTCCCCTGGGACAACACGACATCATCTTTCGTACTTACACATATCTTTTAACAGCTATCATATTATCGTACGAGAAATACCTTCGGCGTGTGCTGCGGCGTCACCCACGCTGCCCGCCAGGTCAGCCAGTTCTCGCCGGAGCGCCCACACCGCTTCGCCCGCGTCAGGTTGCAGTGACACTTCCTCCTCATTAGGCCCACCGCTGGGCAACCGAGCCAGGCCTTGCGCACCAGTACGGAGTTCCCTACATTACGTAAACATTGATTACAGACTTCGATTAGACAGGTATTATCGACTGCCGACTGTCGAAGAAATTAATAAATAAAAAAGAGGGCTACCAGTATTAATTAGAGGGTCAAACACAACACAGAGATGATCATTATAACCGTACTGCTTCTACCTACATATATCATATGCCATCGAGTTGATTATGTGATGAGGGCATGATGATAAGCAGATAAATAGCTAACATCGTAAACGAAACGAGCGATACACACCTGAGTACCGAGGCGACGTGATCCATATCTCTCCTCACCAGGGAAGCCTCCCGCGCCAGCTGGTCGAGCTGTTGCGTCCGGTGTCGATGCAGCTGCGCTAGGAACTCATACAGCAGCCTGTGATGTGCCGCGGCGCACTCTGCTTCTAATAGCCTCTTCCTACGAGTTAACAAATCCAACATGGCGTCCACATCAGCTAAAGGAAGTCTTCTAGCTTCTGCGGCGACTAATGCACGGACCCTCTCTGGCCCTCGTGCCGCGGTGGCCCCAGGCCCGGCGTTGCTCGCCCCCCGTCTAGCGCGAACTCGCCTTCTCGCCACCAGCTCGTTTAAAAGAAAATTAGGAAAGATGTGGTCGCGAGAGGCCAAAGCTGCTCCGCATTTTGGACATCTCCTGTGAAGCTCTACCGCTTTGCCGATGCAGGCGTAACAGAACGAATGTCCGCAGCGTGTCACGTACGCTTCGTCGATCAGCTCGAAGCACACTGGACAGAGGAGGTCGCAGTCTTTGTCTTCGAGGGAGCCTCCTAAGCCGCCGAGAGCGCTCGCACCGCCTCCGGCGGCTGCTGAGCCGCCGGTGGCGTTGCTGGCGCTGGCTGCTGTGCCTGACATGTTCTGTGTGTTTCTGCAAGACGAAAGATGGCAGATGATTTATTTTGAGTGTATGTTTTAAGTAATTTCTTCTACATTTTATCAATATATTTTGTTAATCATCAAATGAGAGAGCCATGCCATGGTACATATGGATCAACAACACCGGTGATATATTGAGAAAAAAAAACAGAAAACCAGTGTTAGGTATTATTTTAATGAATTTAAAGAGTAAGTAATTACTGGAGGGTTTATTCCCACCCAGGACAATACAAGTGTGCGGTGCATACAATCATTTGTTCTGTTTGAGTTTAATTTATGTATAATATGTTTTTATTTAGAAACATGTAAGTAAGACTATTATATATTCAGCGTGCCAAAGGATACGCGGAACTGTGTCACATCTTATAGTGAAACCTACATCGATTTATTATGCACATGGGTAATGAGGTATTTGGCTTGGCTTGTCGCCGATCGGGGCTATTGTCAGTTTTTCAACACAGATCAAAGCAAGTGCTATGTTGGCACCTGCTTCTTCCCCACTGCTCAATTTGATAATAGTTAAGCAGTCAGAAATAAACATTAAGTCTCTACTGGTTAAGCAGTAGGGCTAGGCTAGAGGATTGTTATTTATTTACTTTAGTGTCGCCATTTATATTTTGATTAACAATATGTCCACATGTGTGCTGAACAGGGATCAGACGGCTGTGCGTAAGGAGTTTTAAGTTATTATAATTATACATACAGCCTGTAACACTTGGTCACAGTAAAGATATTTTACAAAACATCAAGTTAGTGAAAGTTTTAAGAGATCCTCCCACAAAGTCATTGTTTTTCTTCTGTCTCCATGATCATAAAGCATTCAGTATAAAACAACTGCATCTGATTATTTGTAAAATTTAATATAATGTGATAAAATAATAATTTATATGCTAAATATTTAATGACATTTCTTGACATTTTATTAGTTAATGTCTATGAAATATCTTGATGTTTTATTATTAATAGTTAATGTTTGTGTGGTAAAGGTGGTAAAGGTAATGTTCCGTGTGGTGACGGATTAAGAATACAAATTGACACCACCCCAATTCTTCCCATGGGTGTCGTAAGAGCCGACTAAGGGAGCAAACTAAGCAGGACAACAGCACTGCAAAGAGAAGGAAAACTTGAAACAAAACCCTATACCAACCCGTCTGGCCAGCGATGTATAGTAGGCCAAAACCTCCTTTCTAAGGAGAGGCCTATGTCCAGCAGTGGACTAGTATAGGCTGTTGATGATGATGATGATGATGTTTGTGTTTCAATATAAATAATTGCATGCCTACTACAGGCAGAATATAGCTTGAACAATAAACCACTGTTAAGTCTGGTACCACCTGTATTCTGTGCAAATAAATGTTTCTATCTTTCTTTCATCATAGATCATAAAGCAAAATTTAAAGGTGAATTAAAAAAAAAAACAGAATTAAATTAAACATTCAAAGCAGTCACAAATTGTCTTGAGGTAAGTTCATATTTAAATAGTTTTTGTGACAGGCAGTTTTTAAAACATAATTATGAAACTGTCCCAGTTCTTACTGATACTCAGACTCCTCAGTCTAACTACTACTGTATGTGTATTTTTACAGTTAGGATAGTTTACAGTATTCTAATGTGAACAACTTTTATAAGATAAAATTTATTAAAATAGTTCGACAACGAAATCCATATTACATGTACTAGTTGTGCCTACCATACCGACCGCTGGCCAAGGGTTGTGTTGAGTGTATTTTTAGTATACAATCAATAATAATTAATCAATACGTGTTCATTTCGGTATGAACGATCTAGTAGCACTGCTCCATCAGTAATTACCACGTACAAGTTATCGTGCCGCGTGGTGGCTCAAGTGTCATACTAGGCTGTTTGAACCGACAGCAGCCTCAGCTTGAGCTCCTCAAGCTGCCTGACCATCAGCATCAGTCGCGACACCGCCCCGGTAAATACTTCTCGCGCCAACTTGCCAACACACAATGCCACTTACACTGCCATGCACAATTAATGTTTCCTTCACTAAGCACTTCACAGCAAGTAAAGTCATTGTATTGTTACAATTAGCTGCATTTTATTAAGATTTTATAAAATTATTGTGTATCGCTGCACTTTGACATATGGATTCAGAAGTTGCCAGGAGGAAAATTTTTCATTGGGCCAAACACGGGTCAAGTTTGTGATTTATTACCCACGTCACAATTAAAGAAAATCTATTCTGTTCAATTTGGAATCAATTCATGATTTCTGTGTAATATGGTCTAAAAGTAATCATTTGATAAATTACATAATGAAAAATTCACATTGACCAAATTTTAACTTCTCAGTTTATTACGACATCTATAATTTTTCTGTCACACTAAGGACCAATCTGTTTGACCGACATGGATTTCCCAAGAACTGCTTGACTGACAGCTCAAACGCCATTTTGCTATTATTACAGAAGGTTGCATTATCTGTTCGTCAACAATGTAAAGTGAAATGTTTGTTGGATTTTAGTAGTGAATGTGATGTTCAAATTTAGTTTTTACCCCTTGGAAAAATCCTAGGATAATGGAGGAGCCTAACGAGGGACACAGGGTTGTTCCCGGTAAGTCCTGTGCTAAGAAAATATTGCTTTATATTGAGAGTGTCCGTCAGACGAGGTCGTGTAATGTTAGCTTTCCCGATTTCAGAGCTCTACTTTCTGATAGCAAAATTTCTTAGTGGAGGACCTCTGAAGGAGACTGCTAAGGTAAATTGCCTTCATACAAGTTTAAATTATTGTGTGGTATGATCCATGGAGTAAATTGAAACCTTTTCTGTTACAGACATTGCTAAAAGAGCTCGAGACTATAGAGGTAGGTCTGAGCTTTTCCTAGTGCCGGGTTTTGAGCTTATTGTTGTTTTGGTAGCGAACGCACGTGGCGGTGACTGTCAAACTCGCTGAAACTTCGCTGAAAAGTTTTTGTAATATTCGCGCTGTTTGCAGGTGCTGCCTCGACGAACCGACTGGGAGGGCACAGAGCACACCCAATCTTACGATGAATTGGTGAGTTGAACTAACTTTTAACATCGCAATACTGTTTATTTACGTTTTTGTGGTGCATAATCGACGGGAAATAACGTTAATTGAGAGAAAACACCAAAATTTCTTAAAATGTGTTATGCATCAAAGTGATCGTGAAAATACGGTGGAACATCGTAAAAAATATTTTTGTTAAGTTTATGTGAGAAATTACAACTTTTTAACTAATTTGCGAAAAAAATGTTATATCATGCACTATCGGGAAGGAGCACTGTCGTAATTAGAACTATTGCTATCTCTGTCTTTCGCGTTAAAACGCAGCCTTCATACGATGGCGATCTCGCTCTAACAGCCGCTAGCAGTAGTTTTCGTACGGTACTGGCCAATCCGAATCCGATGTCCCCCGAACACACACGAATGACGCCTGAAATAAAAACGGCGCCATTTTCGAGTGGATGTAAAACAGTAAATGAATAAAATTTGTAATTGTATTTGCTAGATAATATATTTATAATCTAATTATGGGCGCTTATTACAGATTCCTATACTAAACATAAATGTTAATATATCTAATTTAGATTTACGTATGAAAACAAGGCTGGTGTACTGATATTAAAAATTAAAATTAGATGTTCAGGCTCTCTCTCGTAGTCATTTGGTAAGAATATACTAGGTTGTAATTTACTACTTAATAGAATATATAGGACAGGGATGTTGCCGCCCCTATTCATCCCGTGTGAGTCGACTAATGTTGCAAAAAGGTGTGGGAAGGCGGCACTACAAAGAGAAGGAAAACCTGGCACAAAACTTGTACCAACCCATCTGACCAGGAAAGAGGGGCCTATGTCTAGCAGTGGCCTAATAGAGACCACCATTTTATACCTTCGAAAATGTTACACGTAATATTTGAACACAGTGCGTTACCATCTGCAAATTGAAGTGGCTTAACTTCGCTATGAGCCCAAACTTAAAGCACATTTATTTTGCCTACTCCAATTTTATTTACACTAAAATTGAGACATCAATGGGCCTGTTGGTCTTATAGTCAGTGACCCTGACTGCTAAGCCGGAAGTTGTGGATTTGATTCCCACCCATAACAAATATTATGTGATGAGTATGGTAATTGGTTCTGCCTAGACACAGAACGATAGGTGGCGCTATACCGAAATCCTTTAAAATTAAATCGCGGTGTTAAGATTCTTCATCGTTTATTAACCCTAGTGATATGTCATTAAATAAAGCAACTTTCGTTGGCATACTTCCGAGTATTATTCAACCCTTTAACAAGTAGCTAGATCACCCCTTAACAGTGTGTATGTAAATTCCATAGGCATCGCAATACTCCGACGTGTCGTTCAACCGACTGGCGGCGGTGTGCGAGCGCGCGCTCCAGCTCGCCCGGCGCGGCTCCGCCGCCGGAGACAATAATGCACAACAAGGTATGACAATGACAACACTTTCTTTCAAATCTGTTTTTTGTGTCATTTAAATATCATTTCACTTTGTACTGTGCTTTTTGTAAGGTTTGGCGGCGCGGCTCTCGCTGCTCAGCGAGTCGCTGGTGCGGCCCATGCCGCAGTACGCGAGCCACAAGCTGGACCACTCGCTGGTGCGGCGGCTCGTGGCGCGGGAGCTGGGAGCGGGCGCTGCGGCCCTGCCCGGGGGCCGGGGAGGACAAGCCACTTTCCCACCCCGCATGCTCGCCTCACTCAACCTCCAGCGACGAACGCTGGGGCATCTGTCGGCGGTGTACTGCGTCGTGTTCGACTGTACGGGGCGGTACGTCATCACCGGCGCTGATGATATGCTCGTCAAGGTACGGAACTTACTGTACATAAAACAACACTCGATAGATAGTTTCTTACATCGCGATATGGTTGTGTTTCACCAACTTATTTGTAAAGACAAAATAATTTTATAAAAATCGTCTCACTCTGAGGCAGTCTTGAGGTTTTTGTTTAATGCTTATCCGTATGGGAATGTAGTTCAGTTGAGTACAATCAGGCAGGCGATGTTGAGTGGATTTAGGTTTAAAAGGTGTCTCAGTCTTGAATCTAGTCTTAAAACTAATTTTAAGTAGAGATTTTATTATTGAACGTCACTTAAAACGAGATTCACCGACCCATATTTCAGTGAGTGATAGCTTATTTGAGAACGATGTTTATGTCGAAATCTTTACTCAGATATAGATTTTGACAGATGTGATCTTTGTTTATGTGAGACAAGCTGAAACTAGTCTCTGAAATGAATGTGTTTTACGATGATTTGTTTGCGAATAATTACGAAAGATTTACTTTACTTTAGTTATGAAAGAATTACTTGTCATACATAATCAATTCACTTTAGTGTACCTTAATTGATATTAAAGTGATTGAAATTCACATTTTACACACACAATATTTGTTTAAATTAAATCACCACAATCTTTTGGTTTATTTTAAAAGTATAATATTATTCTAATAGTACCTACACATTTTAAAAATATATATATTGTTGTTGAAGTTGAACATTTCGTCATAGCTTATGCCTAGTCATTTTTATTTTAAAACATACGAAAATACGGGCCTCGGTAAGTCCGTGTATCGTATGTAACGGACACAAGGATGTGTATGTGGGGTGTGTGGGGTGTGTCGGCAGGTGTGGAGCGCGCTGGACGGGCGGCTGGTGGCGACGCTGCGCGGCGTGGGCGCGGAGGTGACGGACGTGTGCGTGTCGGCGGACGGCGCGCTCGTGGCGTGCGGCTCCGTGGACAAGCTGGTGCGCGTGTGGTGCCTGCGCTCGGCCGAGCCGCGCGCCGTGCTCAGCGCGCACGCCGGCACCATCACCTCCGTGCACTGGGCGCCGCCCGCCCGCCGCGACGTGCGCTGGCTCGCCTCCACCTCCACCGGTACGGCCCGCGCTCGCCCCGCCCGACAACTCACCCCCCAGGCGCCTCTCTACATACTCTCCCTTCTGTGCAGACTGCTCGGTGGCCTTCTGGACGTGCTCCCCGGACGGGTACTTCCTGTCGCAGCCGGTGCAGTACGTGGAGCGGATGAGGCCCGGCGTGTGCCACATGATCTGCGCCGCCTGGTCCGCCGGGGGGGCCTTCCTCGCCGCCGGCAGCGCCGACCACCACGTCAGGATATACACAGTAGAACACGAACCCGGTGGACCCAAGAGAGTGAGTGATTTCCGTTGTGATCGTGGAGTTGTAATGTTGCATGAGTTCACCGGGATACTCAAAGAAAGTTACTTACTGTTTAAGGTTCTGGAGACAGCCGTCCACGACGATGCGGTAGACTCGATCGCGTGGGCCCACCGGGGACTCCGCTTCGTGTCGGGGAGCAAGGATGGGACTGCGGCCTTGTGGACACTACACGCCACGCAGTGGAGACACCACCTACTGCAGCCGACCTCCACCAACAGCGATGGGAAGAAGCTCAAGGTGAGACGAGTGATGTATACCAAACCGAGAAGTGTGAAGAACGGAGATACTGCGTTCTGGATTCTGAAACCTTATGATATAGTACTTGTCCTATCTTGCTAAAGATACAGCATCTGAATCCTCCCCTAAACAGGTTTCTTTTTCAACGGGATGAATGTAGACGGTGATACTCCAACAAAATCACTCATCTAAAAGAAAAGAAAGAAGTTCCTCCACATACAAAATAACATAGCGAGTGAATCACAAAGTCGGTGTGTGTGTGTGTTGCAGATGACAATGGTGTGCTGGGACTGCAGCGACGCGTACGTCATCACCGCCGTCTCCGACAACACCATCCGCGTGTGGTGCTCGAGGACCTGCACCCAGGTACGTGTGGGCCCAGTGCACGCGGTGCGGTGAGAAGGTTCGACACTGACTCCAGTGTGGTGCAGGTGCGGTCGCTGGGCGGGCACCGCGACGAGGCGTACGTGCTGGAGGCGCACCCGTTCCTGAGCGGCGTGTTCCTGTCGGCGGGCCACGACGGACAGCTGTTCGTGTGGGACGCCCAGCACGACCAGCCCCTGGCGCGCTTCCACAACCGCATCGACGGCCACGGCGACGGCGCCATCTTCGACGCCAAGTGGGGGGGAGGCGCCAGCGTCGCGGCCACCGACTCGCACGGACACCTGCTGCTGCTCGGTCAGTCTATCATACATTACTGGTCACCTGTTCTAGTGTACGTTTGATCCAAAACGAGACATGACCGTACCTACTGTGGTAACGAGACCACTTAACAATAAAACATAATTTAACCAAATAAATAAATTACCGTCACTCTTTGTAACAACCTCTGCCTTGATACTAAAGGCATTCCTCAGCTTCAAAAGATGAAAGCGGTGGCCATGCTTCCTACCGCGCTGAGTGTTGTGGGTTCGTTCCCCACAAGGGACAACACTTGGTTTGATCCACAAATTGTTGTTTTGAGTCTGAGTGTTCTTTGTGTTCGTTTCATGTTTGTTTGTAAAGCCTCCCGCGACACAGAAACATGAAGTTGTAAAAAAAGTTTTGGTATATTAAGTAAACAAACATTTTCTTAAAAAAACACATTACTTCTACATTCTATTACGTTCTGGTTACATTATACACCTAAATCATGGTAAAATATAGTAAGCTTAATATTTCATCCTTTATCTACCCTTGATGGTGAAGTAGAAACAAGGTATTGTTGTTTTTATTTATTGGAATTAAAGATTGAGATCCCATCCTTTCTTGGATATGATTACAAATGAGTTTCTTACATGATAATTTGTCAGGTATCGGACGTGGCCACCGGCTGTACTCGCACCTGCCGACGGAGCTGTTCTTCCACACCGACTACCGGCCCGTGATCGTGGACTCGGCCGGCGGCGCTCACGACGAGCAGACCGACACTCCTCCGCACCTCCTGCCCCCGCCCTTCCTCGTCGACGTGGAGGGGGCGCCGCACGCGCCAGAGTATCAGCGACTCGTACCCGGTCAGTCGCAGTGTTGTTTATAAAATCCGATAGAATTTCCATACGCGTCAAACGAGACGCCGCAACGCTAACTCGACGGTACGTCGCAGGCCGAGAGAACCTGGCGCTGTCGCAGCTGATCCCGGTGGCGGACGCGCCGCGCTCGCAGATCAACTCGCTGATCGAGGCGCTGGCGGCGGGCATGGGGGGCGCCGGGGGGCGCGGCGTGTGGCGCGGGGAGGGCGTGCGCTACACGGCCGGCTCGTGGCAGCGCGGCGACCCGCTGCTCGTGCCGCAGTGCACGCGCCCCATCGTGCCGCGCCTGGCGCCGCCGCACCGCGACACCCTGCACCGCGCCGCCGCCGAGCTCAACGCGCTGGAGCAGGCCTGGTACCGCCGCGAGATGCGCCGCCGCCCGCTCATGATCAGCACCGCGCCCGACGGCGGGCCCCGGCGCCGGGCCGCCCGCCGCCCCGCCGCCCGCCCCGCCACCCGCCCGCAGCCGCGCCCCGAGCCGCCCGAGCCGCTGGAGCCCGACAGCCTCAGCGGCTCCGACACCAGCGACGAGTGGCTGCAGCGGCCCTCCGCCGCCCGCACCGCCCGCCCCTCGCACACCTCGCGCACCTCGCGCACCTCCAACGACACCAGGGCCAGCCTCTCCAGCCTCGAGCTCGACGACACCACCAGGTACGACCTCCACCGTACCCGATTGGACACGAGTCATACCCCTTATTATATTTTGACTCACGAGTAAAATTATAAATCATTAAATAAACGTTTCCAAATGCGTTGTAACACTAACAACTACCATCGATCACCGGTATATTCTGTTACCAATCCTAACAGATCTATTGAATTTTGACTGCTTTTGAGGCTATGATGAAACAAAATGGCTACAGACTTAGATTAACTAAACTGCAATTAATGAAGTATATATAAGGAATGTTTACCCGCTGTAAGTGATGTCATTTGTCTTAGCTCGCACTCGTGCAGTCGGAGCGGCAGGTGCGTACATGTACCGACACATTCAAAGTTGTAGACAATAATATATTATTGATTTGCCTATTTCTATTGATGCTTTATTTATTATTTCTTTTCATAAGCTGGAAAAAAAACTTATTATTTAAATCATACTGTATATTCACAGTCTGGTCAAATAGCGAGGACCATTTCATTAACTGTCTAAACTTGTCTTTATCATATATTATGTGTAAAAAGTTGTGGTGTAAAGACGATTTCTAAATATTATAACATGTGGGTGTTTTGTTATATAATTCAAAATACCACTCATGATCACTGCTTGTATTAATAAAGACAAATATATACAGGGTGTAAGGAACGGTGTAACGAATACTGAAACAGTGTATTCAGACCATCGTTCTAAGTCGAAAATCATTGGAATTTTTTGCCGGAAGTTCATCTTATTTTTATAATTTTCAATTTTTTTGGTTAAAAATAATGTCATAATGAGTGAACATCTTACATCACTATCGTGTTTTGTTTAATGACATTGGCTCCCCAAACGTTGTGTGTCATTTATGAAAATCCAAGCCGCGATCAACGCGAATATTTAAAAAAAAAATGAGTTAAATTTTCTGTTTACTCATTGTGATATCAGTATTAACCAAAAATTGAAAATAGCGTAGTGGTTAAAGCGGTCGCCACGTCGCTTACTACTACGCTGAGTGTTGTTGGTTCGATACCCACATGAGACGACACTTTGTGTGATCCACAAATTCTTGTTCTGAGTCTGGGTGTTCTTTGTGTCTGTTTCATGTATGTTTGTAAAGTCCCCCGCGACACAGGGTATATTCCTAGTACGGGAGCTGTGTTTTTAGAAGAAAAAAAAAATGTTTTGTGAGCCTTTTCTACTAAATCGACAAGTAGTGTTTATAATGTAAAGAGCTGTATGTGACACTTGTGTGTGTGTGTGGCAGCTCGTCGTCCTCGTCGCAGTACTCGGACTGGGAGGCGGGCGCAGCCCTGGCACCTCCTGCTCGCGCACGCAGAAGGCCCCTGCGCCCTACCAACAGGTAAGGGCCATCATTTTATTGTTGTGTGGAAGTCAGAGTAAAGTCGACTAAACATATAATAGTCATGTAGAAGAAAATAGCAACGCATCGATCAAGCCTCGCCCCCAGACCAAGAAGGTTTCAAGAAATTATCGTTTCGTACGATAACTTAGTTGACTTTGATTAATTTGAACGGATTATTAAACCTATAAGTGTGCGAGCGAAACCACAGGTTTTCTCGATACAGTGAGTACTTCTCACACGTTACTGTACGTATGTGTCAGGTACAGCCCCAGTCAAGTGCCGGCCAAGCGAGCGCCCGCCCCGGCCCCCGCCCCGCCGCCCCCGGCACACATCCCCGTCGACCCCGGACCTGCTGGTGAGTGGACAACACCCTACTTTGTCTCTTCAGATACGTAATCTATACAGACTAGTAGAACCTCTCTTAGTATTAGTGATCCGTACACGTATCCACGGATATTCGAGGGTAATTACACATCTGTTTCCGTTACTTTTCCGTTATTCCGTTACGTTATCTGACAGAGTGAGTTAAAACCTTGACTCAAAATAAACAATAAATTATGAAGATCGAAGGAGCTGTTTATGAGGAGAGAATTTCCAAACGCTTTTACAGGAAGTCGCGTGTCGGGTCCTCTGCAGGAGCTGCCGGACGCGTACCGGCCCGGCGAGTGGATCACCGCCGTGTCGCCGCGCAAGGCGCCCTACCACCCGCAGATGGGCGACCAGTGCCTCTACTTCCGCCTCGGACACCAGAGGTACGGCAACAGCCTCACTATACCTAATAGATGACCCCTCGATTGGCCTCGTTCATGGTCTGCTGAAGGTGCTCGGAGGTTAATATATTGTTAATGGTTTCTGGCTTCAGGTACTTCGAGGCGGTGGCTGAGAAGGACGTGTACAAGATCAACCCGAGGGACAAGCCGTGGGAGAGGTCGCACGTCTATGTACGTACTGCTCTGGTCCACAGCCTGGACCCCGCAATACATTTTTAATCGTTCATAAACAGTAAAAGGGCCTTAATTCCACAAATTTTTCGTGCAAATTTACTATATTTACATATACAGACCCTTCATATACACTGTGGGGACTTATGACTGATGGAACGCCACGCCCACTCTGGTACAGTTAACGTCGTACAGAGAATGTATTGTATAGAAGGCGTGCGGAATGTTGCAGGAGTGCGAGCTGGTGAAGGTGGTCGGTATCAAGTACGTGATTAAGCCGCCGCGCGTGGTGTGCCTGCGGCTGGCGTGCTCCCTGCCCGGGGAGGGGGCGGAGGGGGGCAGCTCGTCCTCGCGCAGCATAACCGTGAGGTACCACGACATGCCAGATGTCATTGACTTCCTCGGTAAGTGACGCTTTCATTAAATAGTATAAGTATTTAATAATTTCATTCGACGGGCTCATTGGTGATTGTAACTACTGAAAATAATGTGTTCGATTTTATTGCCATTCAGGTATATATCCGTGTAGTGACGGATTAAGAATACGGAATGTCACCACCCCGATTCATCCCGTGGGTGTCGTAAGAGCCGACTAAGGGCGCAAAACAACGCACGACACCAGCACTGCAAAGAGAAGGAAAACTTGACACAAACCCTATACCAACCCGTCTGGCCAGCGTGGTATAGTAGGCCAAAACCTCCTTTCTAAGGAGAGGCCTATGTCCAGCAGTGGACTATTAAAGGCTGTTGATGATGATGATGATGATGAGGTATATAAATACTGATGAAGCGTTTATGTGAATCTCCTTATTCCTTGGATGTAGGGGGTGTCGTCAGTAAGCTTACTCTGACACCCGTGTCCGTTTTAATTATGTAACAGTACATAAATTATTTAAGACTAGCTGAAACCCGCGGTGTTACCCGCGTTTGTTGTTATAACCGCGGGCAACGCCGCGGGGCGAAACTAGTCTAAATAAAGTAGCCTAAGTTACTCCTTATGTCATCAGCTATCTGCCAGTGGAAGTCCCGTCGAAATCGGTCAAGCCGTTCCAGAGATTACCCGGAACAAACAGACAGACAGACAAAAATTTAAAAAAATGTTATTTTGGCATATGTACCGTGTAAACATACATATGCATTTAGTAAAAAGCGGTTATTTTAATATTACAAACAGACACTCCAATTTTATTTATTTGTATAGATCAATAGATATATAGCTGAATACGGTGTGTAATATGATTCTTGGTCTGGTTTTAGACATAATGTACTAGTAGTGATAGTGTGTGTGTGTGTGTGTGTGTGCAGTGCTCCGGCAGCAGTACGACGCGGCGGTGGCGCGGCGCTGGGGAGCCGGCGACCGGTTCCGCTGCATGATCGACGACTGCTGGTGGACCGGAGAGGTACGTGCCCCACTCTACTTATTTATCTGTAATACACGGGGTACGGCTCTGTAAGTCGAAGCGACGTCCCTTCCCGACATTTCCCTCTGTCTCTGTTTACCTAAAGTGCCATTGGTTACATACTAACCCCTCATATTCCCCAGCCGACCACAGAGATCGACTAAAAAGACTATTGCAAGATTGGGGCTCTCGTTCACTCTATGCCTATAATATATTCTGACTCTGACTGCACGGATCGAGTGTTGTGGATCCGATCCCCACACTTTGTGTGATCCACATATTGTTGTTCTGAGTCTGGTGTTCTTGGTGTCCGTGTCATGTAAAGTCCCCCGCTACACAGGATATATTCCTAATGCAGCAGTTGTCTTTTTAAAAGAAAGAAAGAAAAAATTCTATGGTAATATGTATGTATTTAGAAATATACAACGAATACTGAAAAAGTGGATTCAGACCATGATTTTGAATCAAAAATCATTAGAATTTTCTGCCGAAAAATTCATCTTTTTTTTTAATTTTCCATTTCTTTTGGGTAAAAAAGTATATCACAAAGAGTAAACAGAACATTACACCGAAAAAAAATACCGTAAACGGTCAAAAACTGCAATATAATTAATAAAACAGCGGAAGCGGGCGGGACCTCCACTTCGGCCGCCAACTTCCGTTAGTGTGCGTAGACTGTTTGCACGGAATACAGATGTAGTTATTACTTTTGTGCGATACCTACGGGGAATGACCTTTACTTTTGCCAGCTGCTTGGATAAAAAGTTTAATTTTCCGGCAGAAAATTTCAATGATCTTAAACTGAGAATGATGGTCTGACAGTAGATGACTAGTATACTATTACAGTATTCGTTACGACGTCTCTCACACCGGGTATAAGTATATTTATCAGTAGTCTGGGTTCCATAGCATGGATTGCATGTAATTTGGAATCTGTCAGCGTGTAAGTCCTCCGGTGTGGTGTGCAGGTGCTGGAGCGCGCGGGCGACCCGGGCGCGGGCGCCAGCGACATGGCGGGCGGGCCCCACGCCCACGAGTGGGCCTCCGCCGCCGCCGCGCACTTCCTCGCGCTCAAAGTGAGGTGGGACAACGGCGAGGTAAACACCGCGGCACAGATACACACGCCCACTTAACACCTCACAGTTCAGCCGTCGAGTTATTCATTCACTTTGGAGATAGAAGCGAAAGTCAGACAGTACAGTAACAATAATTGTTGTTAATTGCTAATTATTGTGATAAAAATAAATTGTAATAATTTCGTAAATGAACCAATACTCTCCAAACCAAACCTCGCAATTAGTGCTCCATCACTCGGCTGACACGGAGGAGCCTAAGGAGGCAAATAAGTACGAACTAACTCTGACAAGGTATATTTAATATGTGAGATGATCGGCCGAGTACAGTGCGGTACCGTGTGCAGGTGGAGCGGCTGTCGCCGTGGGACCTGGAGCCGCTGGACCCGAGCCGGCTGCCGGCGCAGGCGGGCGGGGCGGTGCCGGTGCTGCCCGTGGAGCTGGACGCCGTGCTGTACCGCGCCACCACCGACGAGTGGGGCGGCGACCGCCCCACCGCCTCCCGGGCCATCGCTGAACATATCGGTACACATTATATAAATATCAGTGTCCCAGACTATAAGAGCATTCTTTTATATACTTTTCTACTTACTTCCTTTATTTTTTTTCTACTTCTTTATACTTTTTCTAATTGACCCTAATAACTAAAAATATTATTGGATTGAAAAGGAATAATTTTATTCTCTTTTGTCTCATTTATGTTAGAATAGAATATTTTATTTAGCAAATATGGGTAATACATGATAGGTGTTACAGTACATTGAAGCTCAACCATATGTTACCAGTGGCGTGCAAACATTTTTTGTATTAGGCTAACAAAACATGCTTTTAGACTCAATCCGCAATAATATTAATTTTAAGTCTAAACATTAGCTAATAAAAATCAATAATGACACAATAGTAAACATACAATACGATTTACGATGTTCCAACTAAAATAACTTTTTAAATTTGAACTCACTCGTAGTACCAGTCATCGTACTCGTAGCCCTCCATCATATTAGTGATTCGTCTCACCTGCGTTTGCTATTTTGTAACTGCTTCGCTGCGAAATGTCTCAACGGTATTGCCAACAATCTCTACCCTTAATAATTATTTATTATTTCTAAATTGTAGGGTCGGTGATGTCCCTGGCGGCGGCGGAACCGTTCGTGGCGCCAGTGGACCTGCAGCAGTACCCCGCGTACGCCAGGGTCGTGCCATACCCCGTAGACCTGGCGACCATCAGGTAAATACAATGTACACTATGTTTATTTATCATTTAGATATAGTTTTTAAGAGGATTGTTTATATGTGCAGCCAGAAAGTATTTAATTAATCTCATAGCATGTATGTGAGCTAGTACAGTGCTATAACGGGAGCGCGTTGTACGTTTGTCAGGGCGCGCTGCTCGCACCTGTTCTACCGGCGCGCGGCGGCCGCTCAGTTCGACGCGCGCTACCTGGCCAGCAACGCCGAGCGGTTCAACGAGCCGCACGCGCCCATCGTGCGGTACGTGCAACACCACACCGCACACAACACCACACCACACCACACACACCACACACACCACACAACACAACATCACAAGTTACAGCAGTTTATACAGGCGACAAAATTGTCGACCCCAGACATGGCCAGTATAGAAATCGATCTATCGGCAAAATATAGCTTTTTTTTTATCAAATGCTGAAAATGGAGGTTCTTAATTATTCTTATTAAATTGACTGACACTTGTTAATCCTTTTTAAATTAAATTGTTAAAAAAAAAGGTGTGAAAATCAAAAAGAGGTATTTGACCCCGACGTGATTTGAACACGCAACCTTCTGATCTGGAGTCAGACGCGCTACCGTTGCGCCACGGAGTCATGTCTGTTAACTCCTCAATTACACGTTTGAGTCACGGTGACACACAACTTAGCGGCTTTTATGTCGATTATCTTAAGTTAGAGATCGTGGCGGTCGTAACTCGAAATGACCACTTGAACCGCCATTGTATACACACACGACATGTCAACATATTGTACATTAACTTGTGTTGTTCAGCTGTTCTTACATACTTTTCCATGTGTGTTTTAAGCTTAAAAATAGTTCAAAGAATTTTTGTTGTGTATTAATATATTAAGTAAATAGTAGTTTACGACAATCTATACATACAGAATTATTTGCCTCAGCTGCCTTCTTCCTCAACGCAGAGTCTTAACTGGACCTGCAAACTTGACATTTTGGAGCTGATGCTTTTTATGTTGTATCAACAATTCGACCTCAATATCATAATCGAGGACTCCGAAGACCACAGAATACAGCAAATCAGACGAGATTGTAGCATAGGAGTTTAACTCGCATTTGTATTCTAAGCAAGTGCTTTCATTTGATACCCATATTGTAGGTAAACATAGTTCGCCATCTTTAAAAGGTCGACATATTAGATTTAGAGTGACGTCACTTTATTTTTGAGTTACTCTCAGCAAGCCATTTCATTTGACACCCATATTGTAGAAGTGTATTAAAAATAACTGGTCTGCCATCTTGGGTGTTCCACCATGTTGGATTTAGAACGACGTCATACAGTTAACCATGTATCGTGGTCCAAACTAAACTTGAACACAAAAAGCTTGTAATAATGATTGGTATTATAACACCGCTGATGTGTGTCCGTGTGCAGTCAGGCGCGGCTGGTGACGGACCTGCTGCTGCACATCATAGCGGAGTGGCGCGACTGCGACGTGCTCGCCAAGTACCACGAGCTCGCCGACAACTACCGCTCCTCCGACGACGAGCCGCTGCTGCACACCAAGGTACACCTCCCCCCTCCTCACACCTCTCATGGTCATCCAACGATTTGATTTAAAATAAAGATCATTTATTTACTAGTGCGCATTCTTTATATGTAATCTATATTGAAACAATTGAATATAACATTTTAATACATAATAAGTTGTTGAAAGGGAATTAGTGAAATTTGCCAAATAAAACACACATTTCGTTGAAAATAATACTTTTTGTTTTTTAGTGAGGAAAATCTAAATATTCATTGTACTTAGGTTGAGTTTAGTTTAGACGTTGTGAAAGGAATAAAAATACGCGTGATTTGTTTAGACTGTTTATTTCGTACTGAGTGTTCGAGAGTACATATACGTATGGAGTTATTAAACTATACACTAAATGTGTGCCTTATTTAATTTTTTCTTTAATTTCATTTCAAAACATTAATACTCGTAGATACCTGAAAAATTATAAAAAAACTGCAGTGTAATCAATCAATTAAACGAAATTTCAATATGTTACGTAAGCAGTTTGTAAAAGTGTGTGCACGTAGTACGTGACGTCACAGTTTCATTTGAATTGTATGACTATAAAATGTTTGTTAAATTGAATGTATTGTATGTATGTATGTGTCGTGTTGCGCAGTCGCGTGGCCGCGGGGGTCGCTCTGCGCGCGAGTCTGAGGCGTGGCGCGCCGCGTGCACGGGCGTGCTGAGCGAGCTCATGGGCTCGGCTGACGCGGAGCCCTTCCGCGCGCCCGTCTCGCCCGACCAGGCGCCAGGTGACACACCCCACCACCCCCACTGCACTGTGTATTCCATCTATAACCATTACATTCTTGCCCTCACTGGTTCATCAACGGAAAACCTAACCCACTGGGACTAGAAACTTGAAGTTTTGATATCTGATATTTTTTTTAAATGATAATGAATTTTTGGAAATTTCACCCCTAAGGTGGCAAAATAAGTGATGTATAGAAGAGTTGTTAACAATAGTGTTTATTGTACGTACGTGTGTTACGGCAGATTATCTGTCGGTGGTGTCCCGGCCGATGGACCTGGGGCGAGTGGCGGGGCGGCTGACGCGCGGCGAGTACAGCGCGCCTGAACAGTTCGTGGCCGACGTGCGCCAGGTCTTCGCCAACAGCAGGCTCTACAACACCAACAAGCGCAGTCGGGTATGTTACCCTTGTACACTCACGCCTGTGCCACTGAAACTATGAACAGAGGTGTCGACACCGACTTTTGTTAAATATAGGTCATTTGGTTCTGCTCGTTTATTGGGGAAGATAAATTTACTATCGTCAATTGGTTACTTTGTAATTGATAATATACCTCACACATCTCACACACGGCAGTCTGATCCCAAACTAGGCAGAGCCTGTACTATGGTGACCAGACTGCTAATAAACATACTTATATATTTTTAAATACATACATATTATAGATAAATTACACCCAGGCATAGAACAAATGACCATGCTCATCACACAATATTTGTCCTGGGTGAGAATCGAACCCACGACTTCCGGCTTAGCAGTCAGGGGCACAAACCACTCGACCAACAGGCCAGGAATTCATTACTTGAGAAGTAGTTCTATACTATCTGAGAATTGTGTGTTTATGTATATCGTTCGTGTGTTTGTATATATTAATAAACAGTAATAAATTGGCACACGCGAGTTGGCTCGACCGAAGCGCACGGAACTAGTGTTAATCATCAATCAGCCACATTTCTGTTTCAATTCTGGTGGGTAGACATGGTAATTATTGTTACTTTTAAATCATAATTATATGATGTAATGATTGGTTTTACTCACAGCGATTGCACCTGCAATTTGGTCAAAGATCATCCATCATATGTCATCTAAATCATTAATCTCAATCTTATTATCGATGATTACGACCATTCTTTTTTAAGATTTAGCCTTCGTGACTGTGATTCAATTCCACCCCCTACTGGTGGGATACTCGAAGATATTCAAGTGACAGTCTGTGGAGTGTAAGTGGTGTGCGGTTGCAGATCTACTCGATGACGGTGCGGCTGTCGGCGCTGTTCGAGGCGCTGTGGTCGCGCCTCGGGGCGGGGGCGGGGGCGGGGGCGGGGGCGAGGGGCGCGGGGCAGGGGACGCGCGCACCCGCCCCGCCCCGCCGCCACAACCCGCCGCACCCGCGCCACCGCCCCCGCCCCGCGCTCGTGTGTCGCCCCCCGCGGCCCGCCCGCGCCGCGCGCCCCCCCGCCCTGCGCGCGCCCCTCGGTACGTCACCGCTCCACCTACTCGCTTTATCTAGTCCGACAAATATTACTCACTACCGGTGGTTCAAAAATGGTACTGTTTACTTTTACCTCAGCCTGTCTCACCTGTACGGCGGCTAACTGTTTTGCTATATGCGAATACATCCATACCTACTGACGGGCAAAAATAAATTATATTGATTAAAAAATAGTCTGTGCCGTTATTTTCATAACTACTTGTAGATAAAAGTAAAATGCACGACATAAATACTTGACTGCCATTCGTTCAAGTTAATTTTTCTTTAAACATTTGTTTACAATAACGAATTGTGACGTCACACGTTGCTATAATCAAATAGTTAATTTAATATAAGTTAACTATTTGATGTCAATAAAATTTACAAATTTTATAAAAATTATTAGATCATTTATTTTAAGTATTGAAAGGTTTTCTGAGGTACTTCTACAAATTATGTAACCGGTATTGAAAGGTTTTCTGAGGTACTTCTACAAATTATGTAACCGTCCTTGAAGGATCCCTAACTGAGACAGCCGAGGTCTGGCTGAAGAGTAGGAGCCCTCTACCAATCCTTGAATTTTGTTATAAGGGGAGATTTCTTTATTAAAACATGTTTTTGAAACCTTTGGAATTTTTTATATCATCTAAATAGATATTTAAGTTACACAGTTCAATATCAGAAACATTTAGCAACCGTAAAATACGTATTCGTTCATTTAATTACTCGGGTCTAAATGTTAACCAGATTAATGTAAAATGTTGAAATGCAAGAAACTTTTGAGGCACTTTGAGATTTGAATATAGGTACTTATGAACTTATAAAGTATTTAAAAACAAATAATCCCAAAAGCCAGATCAATTAGATGGAATTTGTCACCTGTCACATGAACGAGACACTTTCACAATAGTGCTGGTGAACAATACAGTTTTAAAATGATGTTTTAGATAAAATATTTGAAATAGTCCTTTAAAAAAAAATGAGGGTTGGTAAGCCAGACTTCGACGGCCTTACACAATTTTCGTAATGGCCAAAGTAGTCGAGCGGCTCCCGGACTATGGGGTATGAACATGAAATGGCGTTTGTTACAGACGAGTCGATGAACGGCAGCTCGCGGCTCGGCAGCTCGGGCAGCTCGAGCTCGGACTCGGAGACGCTGGCGGCCACGTCGCGCCGCGTGCACGCCGCGCGCGCCTCCACAGACAGCGACGCGCCGCTCACCGTGCACAGCAAAGGTACGGGGGGGGGGGGGACTGTAGCTAGGCTCGGCAGCTCCAGCTCGGACTCGGAGACGCTGGCGGCCACGTCGCGCCGCGTGCACGCCGCGCGCGCCTCCACAGACAGCGACGCGCCGCTCACCGTGCACAGCAAAGGTACGGGGGGGGGGGGACTGTAGCTAGGCTCGGCAGCTCCAGCTCGGACTCGGAGACGCTGGCGGCCACGTCGCGCCGCGTGCACGCCGCGCGCGCCTCCACAGACAGCGACGCGCCGCTCACCGTGCACAGCAAAGGTACGGGGGGGGGGGGGACTGTAGCTAGGCTCGGCAGCTCCAGCTCGGACTCGGAGACGCTGGCGGCCACGTCGCGCCGCGTGCACGCCGCGCGCGCCTCCACAGACAGCGACGCGCCGCTCACCGTGCACAGCAAAGGTACGGGGGGGGGGGGGACTGTAGCTAGGCTCGGCAGCTCCAGCTCGGACTCGGAGACGCTGGCGGCCACGTCGCGCCGCGTGCACGCCGCGCGCGCCTCCACAGACAGCGACGCGCCGCTCACCGTGCACAGCAAAGGTACGGGGGGGGGGGGACTGTAGCTAGGCTCGGCAGCTCCAGCTCGGACTCGGAGACGCTGGCGGCCACGTCGCGCCGCGTGCACGCCGCGCGCGCCTCCACAGACAGCGACGCGCCGCTCACCGTGCACAGCAAAGGTACGGGGGGGGGGGGGCCTGTAGCTAGGCTCGGCAGCTCCAGCTCGGACTCGGAGACGCTGGCGGCCACGTCGCGCCGCGTGCACGCCGCGCGCGCCTCCACAGACAGCGACGCGCCGCTCACCGTGCACAGCAAAGGTACGGGGGGGGGGGGACTGTAGCTAGGCTCGGCAGCTCCAGCTCGGACTCGGAGACGCTGGCGGCCACGTTTGCCGTTTCCTCTCATAAGGCTCACCTCCTTGGAAACGGGCGGTTGTACATCGGCACCGACATATAATGGACTAACTTCGTTTGACAAAACAGATTGTTTTTATTATGTGTGATGGTCTATGAGTTTAGTCTGAGAGGATTTCTGTAGCTAATTATTTGGATGCAACATTATAATTACTAACATGGAAATTATAAAGAAATGAAACAAGGTGAACTAGAAAACGTACCGAGGCTGTATTCGTATCACAGACATGACTGCTAGTGTTGTCATATTAGTGAAGGGTTGCGTTCCAATTCAACAATTTCAAACAATTTTTAAAAGAATTATATGAAACTAGTTGACCCTGCAAACGTTGTTTTGCTATTTACATTATTTAAATACTAGCTGACCCGCGCAACTTCGTCTGCGTCTCTCAATAGTAATAAATTTTCTCCGTTTTTGAAACATTCTTCATTGGTGCTCCGCTCCTATTGGTATTAGCGTGATGATATATAGCCTATAGCCTTCCTCGATAAATGGGCTATCTAACACCGAAATAATTTTTCAAATCGGACCAGTAGGTTCTGAGATTAGCGCGTTCAAACAAACAAACAAACAAACAAACTATTCAGCTTAAAATATTAGTATAGATTTATTTTTTTTGAATTTCTTAAAATCTTAAAATCCGAGCGACTACCATCAGAACGCCACAACCCAAGTACTAGGCGATATCGAAGTTCTGTAGAAAGACTGGGTGTCGGACTGTTTAGGTCGCCCAATTACCCGTAAAGTTGCCAGTTACCAGCGAGTGATCCGACTACTCCAGACCATAAATCTAAATGCAGTCAGTTTGTTTATCAGAATGCGGTTTAGTTGTGAATATGTCACAAATATTTATTATAATCAGTGAGTATTTATGTTCGACACGTATTGCAGGAAAAGGCATCGGCAAGAAGAGCAAGAGCAGCAGCGCCAGCGCCAGCGCCGAGCCCGTCGCCTCCACCAGCAGGGACACGCGACACGGTACACACACACACACATCACACACACACACATCACACACACACACATCACATCAACAGCCTTTACTAGTCCACTGCTGGACATAGGCCTCTTTTGGTCTACTATACCACACTGGCCAGACGGTTTGGTGTAGGTTTTGTGTCAAGTTTTCCTTCTCTCTGCAGTGCTGTTGTCCTGCGTAGTCTGCTTCCTTAGTGAGCTCTAACGACACCCACGGGATGAATAGACGTGGTGACACTCTGTATTCTTAATCACATCAATTGAAATATTCACTTAGTTATACAGTTTCACCCCCGTTTGTGATCTCAGCTCTACTCCTTGTACAGTTGGGTGTTTAGACTAGGTAAATGAAACTATCGAATCCCACATTAATACTGTCTTATAATTTAGTCGTTAAATATTTCGTCGTATAAAAGTACATATGTATTTATATCAGTTGTCTAGTAGCCATAGTACAAGCTCTGCTTAGTTTGGGACTAGATGGCGTTGTGTGAATGTGGTACAATATTATTATTATTAGAGTAGATTTGTTTAATCATACATCACACCTAAAAGAACTTTTAAAATCTGACTAATCTATTGTTTAATCAATGTGGTATGTTCACAGAGAGCTACTCGGAGGTGAACGGCAAGCGCGCTGCGGGGTCGTGGGAGGAGTCGTCGTCGTCCTCCAGCTCGTCCAGCTCGTGCACCAACATCGAGGTGCTGGAGGAGCAGCTGCACGACGAGGTGGAGCTCACCTACACCGACAGCGACCAGAACCAACCTAGAGTACGTGTTTTCTAATATATAGTTATGTTTATCAGCGGTCTGGTTACCGTAGTACGGGCTGCGTTTAGATTGGGATCAGGCGGCCGTGTGAGAGATGTGAGATTATTATTATAAAGGGAAAGACAAAGTCTATTTTGTAAAAATTGAATTGGGTTAATTAATAGTCTTCATATGATCTCTGTTTGCATTTATCGCGTATTCTCTTTGAAAATAATAATTTACATCTCCACCATTTGGACAATTGTAGCTCAACCACTGCGCTTTATAAGACGCTTTTTGCATCACACAACCAACCTGTGGAACAAGTTATCGTCTGCAGTATTGCCGGACCGATATGACCTTCAAATTTTCAAGAAAAGAGCGTACTCCTTCCTCAAAAGCCGTAAACGCGCTTGTGACTCCTGAGTTCCAAACGTTCACGAGCAACGGTAGTCACTTTCCATCAGGTGACCAGTCTGCGCGTTTGCCCTCACTTCTATGAAAAAAAAATACTTTCACAAAATAACACAACAACAACTAAAGTTAGATTGTCACATAACACTGAAGCATGGTCCAGAATGATCGCCGAGGTCGCTGGGTTACACTTACATGCGCTTCGATGTTTATCGCACTGCAGCTACAATTGAACTGACGTGTCCGTATTTACAATACTCGTAAAGGAACATTCCAACAATCTCCAATTCCTACGAGAACCGTCCGCTTCTGAGAAATACAAATTCGTTTTAAATGTAAACAAGATAATCTATTTTCGATGTTATGCGTATTGGTATAAAAGTTATAGTTCCGTGCCAACCTGCATTTTTATTAAACGATTCCCGGAATTGCGCGGTTGATCGAACTTTCGCGGTTTTTATATAATATATATGTAAGACATAGATGAAACAGTATATATAACGGTGCGACGTATGCGCAGGGCTTGGGGCGCTCGGGCCGCAAGCGACGCCCGCGCCCGCCCAGCTCGGCCTCCAGCGCCGGCCTGACGCGGCGACACGCGCACAAACCCAAGCGGTGAGTACCACACCCTCCACTGCACCGAGCGTTACTGATGTTTAACTATGCATGTGTTCACTTTTATTTATATATTATTATTTTCGTAAGACCCTTATTTTATTTTCGCACTATTACTCTGAGTGTGTGGGTTCGATCCCCACACGGGACGACACTTTGTGTGATCCACAAATTGTTGTTCTGAGTCTGGGTGTTCTTTGTGTCCGTTTCATGTATGTTTGTAAGTCCCCCGCGACACAGAGTATGTTTGAGGAGTTGTCTTTCTTAAAAGAAAAGAAAATTGTGCAAAATTGTATTTGAGAAATGAGGGTATTTTCAATTAAAGTAGTCATAAGCTTGACGTGATGTTATACCGTGTGTCGTCGGGTGGCGTCAGGACCCGCGAGCGCTTCACGGCGGGCTCGACGTCGTCGTCGCTGAGCTCGGAGGGCTCGGGCGGCTCGGGGTCGGGCCGGCGCTACGAGTCGGACCGCTCGTACCGGCCGCGCTACTCCACGGACGACGACCGGCCGCTGCACCTGTACCGCCAGCGCCGCGCCGACCCGCCCAGCAACAGCAGCAACGTGAGTGCACCACGCATCTTCACTCCCTCCGACGGAACGAATAGATCCTGATATGTTTGACGGTGTGTCCAGTCTGGCGGCGTGTCCCTCCGCGCTCGTCGCTCCCAGCGCCGGTACAACGAGGACAGCGAGGAGGACTCGGTGGCCGCCATCAGCAAGCGGATGCAGCACCACTCCAGGGCCCACCACGCGCACCTCGCCACGAGGCGGAGGCACCACGCGGCACAGGTATGTGGCACCACGCTAGGACACACCACGGTATCGCTTTGATAAGAATCGTAGGGTGATGATAATAAGGCATTTTATCCTAAATGAGAAAAAAATAAAAATATGTTATTGAGATTAACTCGGAAAATGTTAGTTTTAAAATAACAAACAAAAATTCAATTCAGTTTTCCATTTCTTTATTTGTTCTTTAACACTATAATGAGTTGTCGCCATCTCATTGCGTTATACAACTACGAACATTGAAATAAAAACTGAACTGATCGAATTTTTTACTGTGTTCATTTAAATACATTTTTGCTAATTATCGATTTTATAAAAAAAAAGTTCTTTTAGTGCTTTATTAGCAGTATAAAGTTTAATTGAGATACTTTGAAACAATGGGTGTAATGTACTCTATTTTTTTGGGTGTTTAGTGTCATTTAAGTGTGTGTATAACATGGTTATGTGTGTGTGTGTCAGAGTGCGGGCGCGCACCGCAGCGACCACAACTACTTCAACGGGCTCGCCGCGCCCGACCCGCTCCACAACGGTACGTACTCCGCCCACTGAACTGGTACAGCCCTTGCTCTGACTGATCGCTCCCTCACCACGCTGTTGTACGGCTTGTAGCTAACGGCACGCGGCCTGTGGCAGGCGCGGCCGGCGCGAGCGGCGCGGGGGGCGCGGGGAGCGCGGGCGGGCCGGGGGGCGCGGGGAGCGCGGCCGTGTCGGTGTCGTCGCGCGGCCGCGTGCGCAAGCTCACGCCCAAGGCGCGCGGCCTGCTGCGGGACTAGCCGCCCCACCCCCACCACCACCACCCGCCACCGCACCGGACCCGGCGTCTCTTATACGCTCTATTGTTCAACGACCGACCGGAGTGGCGCTAGTGTAGGCGAAGGGCATTCGATGTTAGACGAAATGAAACGATTTGAATATTTTATTGGTCGACCGGTATACGTTGACTTGTGACTTGACACGCGTTACGTGCCACTACAGGTCAGCGCGTGTGGACTAGGCGAGTGTAACTTGTCATGGCGTTTTGTATTAATTTTATACTAATATAGACTGACGATAAGAATTATTGTTGAGATAATATTTATCTTATATAATGTGCCATCGCGAGAGCTAGGTGCCCCCCGAGCTACAGTAGCGCCCTCCCCTCCTCCCCCCACATTGTCTATTTAATGTTTAAGTATTTCGACAGTCAATTAATACAGACGGAATATTTGCGTGCACGTACACCGTGGTGCACGGACCGGTCGGCGAACGGTGCAGTGCGTGTGGTCGGACTGATGCACAACTGTGATGTTATTTGTGTATAAATGTAATCGTGTTAGTTAGGTTCGTTACATTTAAATGTAACTCTCGATCGACTCAATGTGTCGTCTTGTACTTTTTGTATACCAGCCCTTGTCTGTTGTTAAAGTGGAGTCGACATTTTGCTCACGTTTGACGGTAATCGCTGACACGTTGTGTACTTAATTTGAATGTTTTCTTTCTTCTGCGAAGAAGCAGGGTTGATAAGAGACCCGCGTTGGTACGGTTCACAGTAAGAGCACAAATGGTAGCCGTCCGACTTCAAATTTTGTAACTTACTTGCTGACCCGCGCAACTTCGTCTGCGTCTCTCAATAGTAATAAATTTTCTCCGTTTTTGAAACATTCGTCATTGGTGCTCCGCTCCTATTGCTCTTAGTGTGATGATATATAGCCTATAGCCTTCCTCGATAAATGAGCTATCTAACACTGAAAGAATGTTTTAAATCGGACCAGTAGTTCCTGAGATTAGCGCGTTCAAACAAACAAACTCTTCAGCTTTATAATATTAGTATAGATGAACGAATTGCACGTTACGTTGCGTGATTTGTAAAAAAATCTAATAATCTAGTTGACACGAATTTAAATTCAAATCCGAAAAAATACCTGTATTCCAGTACCGACAGATGCAAAGTGTCGACTCCGCTCCGCGCTGTGATGGGTTCTCCACGATGGGTACGATACGTGTTGGTTGTTAGTGTAAATAAACGATAAGCTCAAACGTGTTGTCTTTGTTCGTCGCGTGCCAACATGGCCGCCCCTCGTCGCTGTCGGTGTGCCGCGACACAACTAACTAGCAAATATACGAACAAAGTATTTTAGAACAACAGGCGAGTCCGATAAACTGCAGCAGATCTTCGAAATAGTCGTCGAGAGGTGGCAAACGAGCACTACAAACATAACATGGTCACTTTAGGGATAATATAATCGAGAGGACAGGAACTCGACTCACAACCAAACCAGGACCTCAATTCTGCTATTTTATGTTCACGCCAAGCCACTGTCACACCACTGACACGCTATTGAGATGCCTTCGAATGGCCATTGGCATCGGTATAAATATCGGTAGTCTACACTAACTCAGGGTCTTTACAGTGGCGATGGAATGGCAGTGGCTCATCAGTGGTGATATCAAAAAGATTGCCATATTTGGAAAAATAAATAAATCATTTCCTCAAAAAAACGTAATATATTTTCAAATTATAAGCATAACATAAAATAAAACATATGACATAAAATAGCAGAGTTGAGGCCCTGGGCATCAAATTATCTTTTGTAGTATTTTCAGTAATAATTGTCATTAATAGCAGGTGGTCATCGGCGGCGGTGACCACTTACCATCAGGTGCCGCGCTCGTTTCCCCAGTATCCCTTTAAAAATGCCTACTGACTAAAAGTAGGTCGTCATTTAATGATGTATTGTTGCGGATTATTCGTAAGAAATTGCTTTGACCGTCTGTCTGTTAACTGTCATTAGAGACTCGGTCGGAGTGGTACCGCCGTTACCACCACCACTGTTGGTTTTCACCTAGTGAGTGAAGCTACCGAAGACCAAAACTTTCCCCTTAATCCTGGGGAGAGGGAATAAATTGCATCAATGAAATTGTGAATGCTGAGTAGCAGGCCGTAGTAATTACCGTCAGGTGACCCATCTCCTGGTAAGCCTCTATTCCTTAAAAAAAAAATTTCACTCCGGGAGTGCTCAAATATAATATGTATAACAGGTAAATTTTTGTTTTTCGATTCGAAAAGTTCCGACATGAATATATATCTATGTTGTATGTATATACGCAATATATGTTTATATTATCAATGTATTTCAACCCAAACTTAACTGTCGTGTAAACGGGACTAATATAATAGACACTTATAAACAGAGGTGTCGGTAACGGTAACAGCGTCGCGAGTTCAGTACTTTTTTCCCACCTCCAAAAATACATTCTTTTGTTTGTTGTTCAAAAATGCCCAACGTGACTGAAAAAGTTTTCACTAAAAAATAGGAAAATAAGATTAATTAAGTTCTGTCGCGGCCCCGACGCCTCACACCGGCGCTGTGTGAGACCGTATATATATATGTATATAGGTTTATGTTGTACGGTACGTAAGTAGTGCGCGTGAATTATATAATTTATTGCAAACGTTAGACGAAATGTATTTTAAGTGTAACTTGTAATCTCAGCGGTGCACGGCCCACGTGTGGCCATATTCAATACGAACACTTACTTTAAGTTTATCCCACTGTTGGGACTGCGCTCTTGTCAGTCAGCGGCTGAGACTACATTCAGGTATGGTGAGCTTTAAACTATACTTACTTTTGACAGCGGATTTTGTCCATCAGTTTTTTTCTTGATAAAAAGTGACAATGAGTGTGACAATTTTATTTCAACAAACAAACTCATTTTTACTCAATATAAGTATGGATGTCCCAAGTGTACCGATAGAGTGTAGGCCCACCCCCTCTCGGCAGGAGTTGGCCGCGTGCCCAGCAGTGGGCCAGTGGACGATGACGAACAATGAATTATACTGTATATACACTAGATACTTATGTAAGTACTTAACGCACACTAAGTGACGTAGCTAGGTTAGGTTAAGGAGCGTCATTTGATGATATGTTGTAATTAAGGTTCTATTACTTGATATGTATAAGGTTCATTATTGTTTGTTCGGATTGTGTTGTTCCTACGAGTATAAACGACGCTCGTGACGAGCGGATGTCGTTTCTTTAACAGAATATACAATTTGCTATGTATCTGTTAAATGCATTATTCTAGTAATTGATTCGAACCTGGGACATCCTGTTTGTTTAGGTGTCACAGTTATTTTGTGTACAAGAAGAATCAATGAAAATGACATAATCTGTCAATATGCTGTCTGAGTAAGACTAAGGGAGCAAACTACGCAGCACTGAAAAGAGAAGGAAAACTTGACACAAACCCTATACCACCAACCCGTTTGGTTAGCGTGGTGTAGCAGGCCGAAACCTCCTTTGTAAGGAGAGGGCTATGTCCAGCAGTGGACTATAAAACCCTGTTGATGTGACGGTGAATCTGTTTGAGTTGTCTAAAACTCGTCCTGTCATGGGGTGATTGTAAATAGACTATTAGACAAGTGTGGACGTCAATCTCGAAATGGTACATTTGTAAGTGTACAGAATTGGTACCATTTGATGATTTTTTATGCAATTATACTGGGGTAATGGATGCCCCCCACCCCATAAAAATCTTCATCCCTATTTTACCCACTTCCAGTTTTATTTTGACCTTCTTGGCTTTTATCCCAGGTCACTATCTATATCGAAATTGAGCGGTTTTCGCGTCTAATAACGGATGTCTATTAGGGTCCCATGCTCCATGTAGACATGCATTATTAACAGCACGTCGATCGGTGGCACGTACACACCCTTGTGCGGTGTGTCACGGGACAGCTGGAACAATAAACGACTCCAAGTGGACTTGTATACAATATATGTGTAGTTATAACATTGTGTGGCACGCGTTGTGCGCGCGACAGATGGTCGGCGGTCGTTTTTATCGTTCGTACTTCTTACATTGTTTGAATAAGCCATGTGTTGTGTGGCTCATCGACTGCTGCTCTCGCTCCTTTCTCCTTAGAAGATCATATTAAATTCAGAATATTTTACTACAATCAGCTGCAGGTGTAGTTCGCCGATAGCAAAGGCGCGTAACAACAATTTGCAACACCGCGAGCCAATATTGTGTACAGGAAGATAAAATAATTGATATCTAGGTTTACAAAATATATTTTTGCGACTCGATTTGTTTGTGATTCCTATTTAATATCTCTATTATATGTATCTAAATATTTAAATTTTGTAAATAAGCGGCATTGCAAACTGCTATTAGGCGTTTTTGCAGTCTCATCGACATTTGAATTGTCAGCAATGGAAGTCTGTCAGACAGTCTGACTTACTCCTGCTGCTGACTCCTACTGGCGACCAGCTCCACGACTAAGTGTGACTCAGACTAAGGCGTGGAACTAGTCATCAGTTCAAATACGTAGATCTTATAGAGAGGAACAGACGAGATACTCTAAGGACATTCTTATCCATTTGTATTTTTGCAATTATTGTATTTCTTGTACTATTTATATATAAGAGTAATGTTGTGAGGGGTTTTCTGTCATCTTCCTTATTTCACCATCAATTCTAAATGTCTGCACAGATTTAATATTGTTACATCATACATTAAAAAAGAGCCAAAATGGCGGTTATGAGCCGCCATTTCCAAATGTAAAAAAATGAGTTTTTGATGGAGAAGTTGTGTATTAGTAACTTTTTGAATTAGTAATATGTTTTTGTTACAATACAACGCAGTCAGTGGAGAGCAACCTACCGCTGGCTCTCAGCAACAGTACCCCGACACGTGTCCTCTCCGCTCGAGGCGCTCTCACTAGCCTAGTTTAGCAGCCAACGTCAAGCGGTGGGTTTCTCTCTATTTAAACTAATTGAGACTATTGTCA